AATTGTCTAGAGAAACAAAAAAAAAGCAGCTCAGACCTTCATTTGATTTAAAGGTGTCCCAGGGACTCCCATCAGAGCAGACTGTAGCTGTTAGATCTGATTTAATACTGCCTATTCTGCAGATTGGTTAGATCACATTGGAGAAAGGCAAAGCTAATCACACCAGCCTTTGTTGTAAATTCTTGCCGTGTTGCCAACTAATAATCTTGATCTGAGTTAATAGCTGAAAAAAAATAAAATGAACGTGATCCTCTATTTTGCTGTCGACCCCCTGCGGGCCGTCAGCACCCATGTTTCTGGACAGTTTCAGTCAAAGCACTTTGCGTCTGACTCACCTCCTGAAAGTGGAGGTCAGCGCAAATCACCGCAAAATGATTCTGAGTGACGGTGGCAGATGTTGTGTCTGATGCCATTCAACAATCTTTTAGAAAAGACTGCGCCTGTCCTGTGTCACTGTGTGTGTGTGTGGGCGCTCTCCTCCTCTCTGCCCTTGAGCCTTTATCAAGTCCTTCTAATTATTTTATTATGCAAATGAGTCACCATTATTTCATTAGCGGGGCAGCCAATCACAGAAGCTGATTAGGAAGTGATTAGCATGCAGGCGGTTTCTCTCCCACTCTCTGTGTCCTTGTGAATGGATGGGAGGGGGGCAATAATGACCCATCTGGACACACACTCGTGCATACACTTAGGAAACTGTCGTAGGGATTTGTTTCATAGTATTATAAAATGAACACATGTACAAACACAAATAGTATTTAATGTTTAAAGCCGTTATAATGGATATTTTTTACAATAGCAAAACAGTACATGAATATATGGAGGTCTCTGGAGACAGGACATGACTTAAAAAGAGTAATTCAGTAATGGCTGACGAAGCAACAGAGTCCATCACCAAGACAGTTTTTGCCTTTATGTCAATGCTGTGTGAAAACACCAAAAATAAACTCCAGTATTTCTCTGTTTTTTTCCTGTTTAAACAGGCAACTGTTTGCTACAGGTTTGACATTTAAAACACAAAACATAAAGGGACTATTTTCTACTGGGTTCTACTTAGCTATGTTGGCTGAAAAAGCTTGAATACCAGAAAAATAGACAGACAGACGGGCATGCAGGCAGGCAGACAGACAGACAGACAGACAGACAGACGAGAACTTTGTGCAACTTTTTTGCTGTAGGGGTAAAATAATCCTTCAAGGTCTGCTCTTGTCATTATTGGCAACAAGGGTTAGCTGTCAGTTGCATGTGTGTGTTTGTGTGCGCATGTTTGTGTGTTGGTAAAAGTTGGCAGGACATAGAGGAAAAAGAGAAGTGTTAACTGAGAACGTGGGCGAGCTAGTGTGAGGGGTGTGTGTGTGTGTGTGTGTGTAGACAGTTTCACACATATTTGGTTCCTGCAGACCCCCTTCTTCAGCATAGAACACACACACACATACACATGAACACTCGGCTACTTTGTTGAGTATGTTAGCAGCTGAAAGCATTGAGAGCGTCTATCAGAGGTGTGCAGACGAGTGGAGAGAAACGCTCTTTGATTAGCAAATGTTCTTTTAAACCAGTCGGTAAAGCAGAATTTAAAACAAGGACATGGTTTTTCTTCTACACTGAAAAGCCAAGGCAAAATACCTCTTGTACAGCGGCACTGTATCAGAGCTGAATGGAACTACTGTGTGTGTGTGAAAGCGTTGGTTTTCAATCCAAGTTTGCTCTACACTGTGTACCGCTTTCAAAGGCAGAAATTTGACGAAAAACCCTTGAAACTAAATAGAGCTTCTGTATGTATTTTGTAGCTTCAGCGAGGTTAAACAAGGCCAAACAAATGCTATAGCAGGTAAACCAAGGCCAAGTGCTTCTGTCAAAACGAGGCCCAAACAGTTTATCACCTGCAGTAAAAACACTGAATTCTTTAGCTTGACTCTAAACTTTATACTCATAAATACATCACTATCAGGAGAAGCACTGAGCTGTAGTCGATTAGCAAAGTACTTTAAATGCTCCCTGCCCATTTAGAAAGATTTTCACAGTAATCTGTTGTGATTTTGAAACAGCATTACACGCTGTGATATCTTGCACATTAGCAATCAAACCTAATAGTCGTAATTGATGTATGTCAACTGCTTCTGCGTGTCATGACTCATCATAGCTTACTACCTCTTCAAAAAGACCATATTAATTAAACAACCATAGCTGACACCTCCTCTTCCGTGTTAATTAAACCTGAGTATCACCTAGACTGAGCATCTGAGTGGTTGAGCCTTTTGGGAATCATCCAGGAACAGGGACACAGTTTAATTTGACGCAAGCTTCTTCTCTTACAAAGTCTCTTATAATGCAGCTTTGAACGTGTTATAACCTCAAAAACCCACCAGGAGTATATGTAGACGTTAATGACAGCCTCTGCTGGCACAAGGATTCAACATTAGCCGTCACCCTTTTGGTCTGTGGCCACAAAAGTCAACCTGTGACCATCAGATTCCTATTCTGTCACTCTTTCCAAAAGCAGTTTCACATTCACAGTTTCACAAACATCTGAATTCATTTGCAGGAGCATTTTACTATTTTTTTCTTTGATGAGGAAAGACTTATAGGCTCCTGATGAACGGTTTGATTTGGACACTTTGGGATCTGGTACCCGTTTCTCGCCAAAGTGGACGAGGTAGATGTGAGAAATAAACCTTTTTGGAAAATCTTGGAAAGTAGAAAAATGACTTGTTTTACATTTACAAGTATACCAGCTGCAGGTGCAGTATATTTCCATAAACATGCAAATGTTAAGGGTCTGTGTTGTGTATTGGAGGTACAGTCACTCAGTTTTCTCACAAAATCGGAGCCGGTGGTAGAGTGGTTAGTCCACTCCAGAGGTTTTGGTCCTTGAAGAGGGCGGCCTGGGTTGGGATCCAACCTGTGGTGCCTTTCCTGTAAGTCATTCCCCCCTGTCTCTCTTCCTAATTTCCAACTCTGTCCGTTGTCCTGTCTCAACAGAATGGCAGCAAATGATCTCCAAACCCACAGCAGCCTTAACATTAAACACAACTATTTTTCTTACCGTTTACTTACCCAGTTTGTAAAATAGCGCTACAACATACACATAGACACACTTTACACAGCATGTTTTGCACTTTTAACCCATGCAGAGAGAGCAACCTTGCAGCAAGATGTAAACTGACACACACACCGTAGGAGACAGGAAGTCATGTGGTTTACAAACACAAACAAACAACAGCCTTTTGTCTGTCATAAGTGAGATTAGGTCCAGTAAATCCAAGAGTTTGTACTTAAATCATGCATGTTGTTAAGCTGTACGTGGTGCCCTTTACATGTCCCAGTGTTTTTTCTCATTATGACTGGAGGTAACTTGCTACGACAAACATTTAATTGAATCGAATGGGGAGTGAGCTAAAATGCACAAAGAGAGGCCGGTTTAAACAACGACCCCGAGAGGGTTGTGAGTCACAGGCAGCCGTACAGCCGGCAGCTGAAGACAGTCGCTTAGTTTGATGTTAACTTGTTTCTCCTCCGGCGCTGGCTGTCACCTCTTGGTATCCCTCTGTAGAAGGGGGCCCAGATCAGTGGGGTATCTGAGGGCCTGTCGTTCTGCTCTCCATCACAGCTGCCGCGGCATGCTCGAGGACACAGGTAGCAAAGCTGAAGCGCTAACTGAATGCTGGGAGATTTATGTTGCTGCCAGTGCTGGTTGCTGATAGTGCTTCATGGTGGCTTGGTCTCGTAAACCCTCTTTTTTTGTTTTTTTGACTGCTTTTAAGTGGTTTTGGATAGAGTAGAAACAAAAAGACATTCCAATCTTGGCAAAAACTACTTAGAAAATTAGACAACAGAGAGAGTTAAAAGTGTTGTTGATGTTTTTTTTTTAAACTTTACAAATACTTTGATCTCGTCTGCAGCATTACCTTCCATTTCCATACGGCATACGTGCCTCCAATCCCTTCTTATCATTTTCACACACACAAACAAAATATACATGTTTCTATTTGTTTCTATGTTAGGATTAATCTGAGTATTTGTATTTTTCAATTCAAGTATTTTTTTTTTTTTATGTTTAAAGTTACATCAATATGTCAAATCAAAGCATTTACGTTACAAACTACTTTGATTCTACATCCTGTTTTCCAACGTTTTTTCCAACAAATATTTGCTGGTTTCAGCTTTTTCTTTTCCTATTTTCTTTTCCTTTTTCTTGTTTTGTGGTTGTTTTTTATTTCATAATTTACACACTGAAACATTATTCAAAAATGAAAAAGTTCAGACATTTATATTTGCTGCTTTCAGCTTTTTCAATGTAAGTTTTTTTTGCCTGTCTTTTTATAAATCTTATATTTATGAGTAATCTAAGGGATTTCGACTCTACATCTAGAAGATTTGTATCCATGTCCACCGCTTCAACTTTGGCCAATGTCAACAAGGACAATGCTGTCACATCTCTGTGACCACTAACAACCGGTGACTTGAATCAGATGGCGTCGTGGCTTTTCTTAGCCGTATGTCTCCTAGCCATTTTATTAACACAAGCTGTGTAGCACTCGCAGGTCAATGAATCAGATAGCTCGTAGTAACCAGCATGCTATTTCTATCAGCAATATTGCCAGCACAAGCCACATATCATCGGCAGTTGATTATCTCCGCTTGCTGTTGGGGACAAGTGGCGTCTCTCTGCGTTAGAGCGACTTTCTACTGCAGGCGGCCAGCTCACACATGGGGCTCCTGGGGCTGGGATGATGGGCTCAGATGATCAGCTGAAGGCCCTGGTGCTTGAGTCAGAGGTGATCTTGCGCGCCCTGAGTGATGACTGTTGGCGCTCGGGCTCCTGGTGGTTTGTTAATGAGCTGAGACACGGTCACGCACAGAAAAACATCAAGCGGGGGGAGAATCTGAAGTTTTACTGAATAGGACCAGAGAGGAGTCCATGTGACTGTAAAAGATCATTCGAAAAATCATCGATCACAGGAGATGAGCTAAATTGTTTTGCGTTTATTTCTTTACAGGGAGCTGCACGTTCGATGAGGGCTTCTCTCAGTGTGACTACCAGCAAGATCCCTATGATGACTTTGACTGGACGCACATCAACACCCAGGAAGTGCCATACGTCTCTCCAGAGCTGCCACAAGGTGAGTCTCCATATGTCTATGAATTCAATAGTGTTACGGCCTCCTGAACGTACCATATCTGATCCCGGATGAGCCCCCAAAGATGTTAAGGCCTCCTTAACATACCATAAAGTTAACCAAGAATGACTCATGTATTGAATTGTTAAACCCCAAGCTTTATTTAAATAAGCTTTCCCCCCATCAGGAAATAATCTAATTTAATAAACAAACAAACAAAAAGGACTGGAGATCTGGCTAAACAGAATAAAAGATGGGAACGTGCCGAGCCAAGCACGTAATGGGTCGTCGCTCTCTGCGCCTCCCCCTAAACTACCTCCAAACAAAACGTATCTACAGAAACTCAAACAATCAAAAATAGGAGGACTGGTCTCTCCAGCCCAAACTGAAATAACCAAACCCAGCAATCTAAACATGCATGGGGGGAAAACCAAAACAAACCTGCACACAATTTAACGATAAAAAACCATCCTCACCACACCGCGGCCCAAAGTTTTTGTGTGTCTGCCTGCCCCGTCTCTCCCACATGGTTAGTTTCAGATAAAGATTTCATATGATAGACTACAATACAAGTTTTCTTTCCTTCCTGTACGGTTAATCATTTTAAGACCCTCCAAATGTGTTTGTGGTTCTTTCTAGGGTACCCCACCTTTATGTTTTGAAACACTGGGTTAAACTTCTGAATTAGTAAAAAAAAAAAAACGCAAGCTAGCTCGACCTCAAGCAGTAAAATGTTTCATACATATTGTTGCATCAGTCAACAATCTGAGGGAGTGACACATATCAGTCAAAGGGGGGCACTTTTCTGCTGAACTTGAACTTTTCAGACTTTTGGATGCCTTTCTTAAAGTAGGAGTTTGATTGCTGACCTTTTCATCAATGGAGAATTTTACGTTGCTGTATTGGCATTTTTACTTAAGTAAGGATCTGAGCTCTCCTCTCCTCTCCTTTCCTTTTTTCTCCTCTCCTCTCCTCTCCTCTCCTCTCCTTTCCTTTTCTCGCCTCTCCTCTCCTCGCCTCGCCTCTCCTCTCCTCTCCTCTCCTCTCCTCTCCTTCCTCTCCTCTCCTCTCCTCTCCTTTCCTTTTCTCTCTCCTCTCCTCTCCTCTTTAATCAGTTGTTTTTTTCCCCCACAATGATGATGAAGGGGAAATTAAATCTTTCTGCCTGCGGGCTGAGGGTCTAATTAACAGAATATGAGGTCATTAATCAACGGCAGGGAACAGGGAAGGTTGCATACTTTACAATGTTAAAATCTAAATGTTATAACATTTACCAGCTATGCAGTATTGAGCAAGTTGCTGACCACAGAGCAAGAATTATGACTGGTGTGTAAACTATGGTGTTGACCACAAGTGCAGAAATCATGTTGAAATTAAACAACCACAGTTATGTTTGAGTTTATTCATTTCTTTCATCTCAGTTTATCTCAAATCCTATTATTCTCATGCCACTCCTTTCTTTTCCTTCCTCTTCATTTCCTCTATTGTAGCCTCCTCTCTTCTAATCTTCTATCTTTTCCTCTCCCCTTTTCTCCTTTCCTTTACTTTCCTTTCTTCTTAGCCCCTTTCACACATGTAATGCAGATAATGTCAGGAGGATGTCAGGGGCAGACTGTCCTGAATTCCTTCCCTATACTCTTGTTTTCTTCCCTCTCTTGTCCTGTCCTCTATTTTTTTCCTACCTTTCCTGTATCCTACTTATTTTTCTCTGTCCCTAATCTCTAATCTGCTCTTCCTTCCTGTCTTGCCCTGTCCCCTCCTTTCTTTTCCTAAACTTTCGTCTCCTCTCCTTGCATTTCCCCACTATAATTTCTTCTCTTCACCTCTCCGTCCTTTCCTGACCCATTATCTCCTCCCTCCTTATCTCCTGACGTATCCTCCTGTGTTTGGGAAGGTATGACTATGTTGCCATGACAATGCAATGCCATTATTTATCTTTCATGCTTATCATCATGACAACCCAGCCTGGTTGACATTTAGAGAAAAGTTCAGTTCAACACCAGCTCTTTATGGGTTTCACACAAATCCTCCAAAGAAAATGTGTGTGTGTGTGTGTGTGTGTGTGTATGTGTGTCCTGCTGTCTACCACATGTGGTCTTGCATACTTGACAAAAGGTTGGGGTGCCTTGCCCAATGGCAGACTCACATTTAGTGTTATTAATACCAGGGGTTGTCACTATGCAGAGAGGGCAGAGTTGGCAGTATGAGGAGGTTAAATACATTGCCCAAGAGCCCAGAGGCTGGAATTAGCATAGCATTAGCGCCTGTGGAAGCTTGTGGAAGAGCAGGGGTGAGGGGGGATGGCGGTGCAGGTTAATGGTTTGAAGATTGCTAAAGGGTAGGCTCAGAGTGCTGCCTACAGGTATGGGAGGGCATGGAGGGACATTTGAAGTGTTAATTTTACCAGCAGGGTGCGAGACGCTGCTGCTTTGGATGGAAAACCAGGTTGCTGGAGGGGATTTGGGATACAGCACTTTGCTAGGTTTTTTTATGTGGGGGGAATTAGTAGGGAAAGGGCGTGTGGTCTTGCCTTGCCCAGGGACACATTGGTTATACCTGTTATTAGAATTGTTTTCTCAGGATAGCCCCGCCACCAGTAATTTGAAGGTTTGCTTGTTTGGCTAGCTTCAGTGGCCCTCAGGCTATGGCATGATTTGAAGTGCAGGCAGAGAAGCCTTTTTACTTTTAACCCCTGAAAACAAAGGTAAACGGACCCTCTTTGTTCGAGGGGAGTTGTGAGGAGTATTTGGCGTCCCTGTGACCTTTTGGGAGTGAGTTTATTTAGCTGATTAGCATTTCAGCGGGTTATAAATTGCCAAAGGTAAACGCTGAAGAAAAGGAGTCATCTTAGGGATTTACACAGAATCATTTTAGAGTCATTGGATAGCTCAGCCAACAATTATACTTTTGTTCCTTATAGCCCACATTGATTTTTCACAGTTGCTAATCACCATTTGGTGCTTAAGGCGGTATTGAGTGGGGAGGGATGGTTTGGCGCTTTTCGTAATAGAGATAAAACAATTCTATGTAATCTCTCCGGGGGTTGATGTTGGCACCAGCGAACATGGCAGGGTCTGGATGCTCCGCTGGCAACACTTGTCGTGCCAGTTGAACATTCATGGACTGGGGCTCTGTGGCTCAGTGGACTAAAGCAGATACTCTTGACTCATAATGTTGTCAGCCAGTACCACTCTAAACCTAAACCATTCTCTCTCTCTCTCTCTCTCTCTCTCTCTCTCTCTCTCTCTCTCTCTCTCCTCTCTCTCTCTCTCTCTTTGCTCTTGTTTTCCACAGTGTACTCTCTAATAAGGGAAGCGAAAAGAGGCACAAACTGTAGTAGAGCTGGATGTTTTAATAATGAGAGAATAATGATGGATACAGCTACACAAACTATACTGCCTTAAAATTACCATGAAATCAAACATCTCTCACACAGTATCTGCCAGGTTTAACATCTAGCCCTCCTTTGGATTGCATTGCATTTTTAACTCTAAAACTCCATGTAATGTACATTTTATTTTAGTTCGGGAAGGCAGATTTTTTTTCAAAATATGTTGGATTGTTATACGAGCATAAGGAGTCAATATACTTATAGGTGTGATCAAGAGGCTGGATGTTTACTGTCACTGAAATGAGGGTGTCAAACATGTTAAAAATCTTTTGGGGGTAGGCTCTGTTTAAAATGGCGAATATTAAATAATATTTAATATAAAAATAGGAACAGATGAAACAGTATTTGAAATAACAATATAATGTTTTTGTTTTAACGCTTCTGATTTATTTCAGGTTTTTGTGTAACACATTAGATTTTCACAAAGTCTACAGTATTAGGGCTTCACAATCAAAGAAGCATGTGGACATTTTACCTGATGGAGGCCTGGGATGAATGACCATGCTTTCACTATGTTTTCATTCAAGCTACCTGAAGCTAGCTCCAACTGCCCTTCAACCAAGCAAACTGATCCTTTCAGTGTTTTAAAACAAATAAAATGATCTTTAAATTAGAACAGAACAGCACATGATGAATCTAATTGTTTTTTTTTGATGAGTATCTGCTGTCGAACCTATTGCGTAGTACTATATCCTAAAGGTTGTCAGCAAACTTAATCTGTTCAGTAGTATGGAACGCTCAAACTTCTCTATTAGGTGTATTTCCCTACGACTGTCACAGTGCTGCTGCTGTTGTTGTAATGTGACATATCTGGGTCTTAGGGCTGTCACAGGGGATATTTTTAGCCTCATCGTTACGTTGTGTCATCATTCGATTAGCGGCCATTTTAGCGGCACTTGGCACACATCAGCCATTTAAAATAACTGGCAGACTTCAGGTGTAAGGTGTTCTTGGTGTGACAATGCTACCTTTTTATGGATTGGTGTTGTATAAGTTTCAAGTGCTGTCAGTCTTCTTTTTTTTACTCATTTTTCTAATGCTAATTTGTTTTCAGATTGGGTGTTATTGCTCTGTTTATCTAGGCTCATAAACCAAATATACATTATTTATTAGATATCTTTTGAACAGATTTTTTTTGGTATTTAACTGACAGCCCTATTTACCAGGCAGTATTCAGTTATTTTTACCTATACCTGCTTCATTTGTTGTCATGATTTTGCAGCGGGCGTTGTTATGATTAGCTGACGTGTTACAGGTTATATTTTTGCTGCGCTGTTTGTGTTGTGACATATCTGGATCACTGACTGATAGGAATATATTTAGCTGGCACACCATCTTGGCAGCCATCTTTAAGGCACTTCTCTCATGTCACATTGGCATCTTGGTGCCAAAAATGAAGGAACAGGATTGACGTGTGCTGTGTGTTCATTTCTGATGGATTTGGATTATAGATATGGGGCGGGACAACGGTGCCAGTGTGCTCTCGATTTTGGTCCTATTGGCATGGGTCTTGTTTGGACGTCCTCATTTTCTGTCTTTTTGTTGACATTCAGAATAGGGGAGTAGGATTATTTTAATACTCCTATGGTTAAAGAAGAAGTGTGTAGAGGTGCTCGTATGACTGGTAATGAGAGAGAAACATAAAGATAGGAGAGATGCAGTCCAATAACTGGGATGCAGAGTTAAGTTTGATAAAGCTGATGTGTGTGTCCATGTGTGCAGTAGTTAAAAGCCTGTTATGTTCCGGCGCATCGTGCAGAGAAGTGTTTTCTCACAGCAGATCAGTTTAACAATAAGTGATAATCACTATTGTCTAAAGCTTATTGTATAGCGCAAATTGTGTACGGTCTAATATGCAAATTGAATTAAAAAGTTATAATAGAGGGCTGTTTTGTTTAGTTTAAGTTTTGTTCTGTTTAGATTCTAGCTCCTCTCTGTTCCATTCCTTTCTTTTCTATTCTATTCTGTTGTTCTGTTCCATTGTGTTCTATTCTGTTCTATTCTATTCTATTCTATTCTATTCTATACTACCCTTAGTATCAAACACAATCATGGCTTCTCCCTCTCAGTTTATGATCAGGCGGAAGGGATCATATTTCATCATATTTCACTGAAACAACATCTGTTTGAGGTCTGAGCTGATTACTGGAACATCTGGATGGGCTGACTGACTGTCCCGTCAACCCGCCCAGATTATGCATGATTTCCAGCAGTCGACTGCTACAGGTACAAGGCATAGCGCTCAGTGGAGACAGGAGGGTTGACAAAATATCCGATGCACATTTCTTCTCGGTTTTGTTTTCCGTAGTGACTGAAAGTGTCTCACGAGGCCCATCAAATTAGAATAACAAAACTAGGAACACATGCAAACAAAACAAGTAAACAGAAAAACATAGCCTAGAGGAAAGCTGCAGCTCATCATGTGACATGTCTGGGTAGATTCAGGTAATGACATGTTGCACACTGTGTGGTTAAGGAGCCTGTGTAAACTAAAGCAAGGTGATATACCTCTTTTCTTTATGCACAACCGTGTTTTTTTTTTTTTTTTTTTTACTTTTTATACTTACACAAGACTAGAGGAGAAGAAATGGAATTGTGCAAATTTCATAAGAACATAAATTGAGGAATATAAAAGAATGAAGTAGCTCTCCTCTTCTCGTCTCTTTGTTTTCCATTTCCTATGTTTATTTGTTCTTGGCTTGCCGAGAAACAGCCCTGCAATCACAAAGGAGGAACAAATGGCACAGTCGTCGTAACAGGGGTTTGTTTTATGTGTCTGGGGGGGGGACTGATGACTGATTCTTGTACTGTAAGCCCAAAAGAAATGAGAGAAGAAGAAACAAAAATGTAAAAAACATGAAAGTAGAAAGGCTCTGTTGGGTTGTTTTTTTGTTCCCATGACAAAAAAAAGCACTGCTCCGAAGAGAGGGCCAAACAAAGTCGTTAAAGGAGAATCTCCTGATTTCCTGGTTGGCTTATTGTGAAATGTATTGGTCCACATTGGGGACAACACACACAGAAATGTGTATATGAACCCATACTGTTGAACTGTGTGAGTGATGCACACAGGGGTAATGGGTTATGTGATTTACAGTTTAAGGAATTTTTGTTTGTCATTTATTTGTAACATGTGCACCACAGAGTTTACAGTGATTTTAAAGCCATGTCCACGAAACTGAAAAAGTAAAAAACATGACCACTGTACAATAAAGGTAAAAGCCCTTCATATTTTTTAACAAATTAAGACATTAAGCCATTTTTCTACACAGAACACTGCACTGCTGTTTCAGATTGCAAAACAGGTTAAACATAGGTAATCTGACCTTTTTTGTAAATCATTTGACAGCTTCTTGATGCATTCAAATCTAGCTCATTAGGTACTGACCGCTAAATTGCATTAGCTGACGCTAGTTTTCAACCAGTTTCTAGGATTCTATGTCCTTCTTTTTATTTCTTGTGACATTATCATGTAGTAAAGTCAGCATATAAGGTGTTAAATGCTCACAGTAGCTTTTTTTGTTTACAGTATGAGTAAGCAAAAATGCTGTTCTGAATTTAGCTGCAGATCATTCAAGAAGCAGCAAAGCAATGATTCTGTCCTGGAACAGTTTAAATGGAGATTAAACCAATGGTCAACCAATATAAGTAATAACATAATCACTATTATAACCCAGTTCAGAGACGTGTTCCTTCTGTGTGTCTAACCAGTTCAGGTCTTCAAATGTGATTATTTTGAAGACACGGTAGCAGGGAAAGTTGATTCCCTCATGTAACTACATGAAACAGAGGCAGCAGACATAAAGACTTGATGTTTGGCAAGCCCATTCAAAATGCTTACATTACACGTCCTCAGAGGGCACCATCACGAGTCCGTTCATGCCGTGGATTTCAGCTGGTATGTGGTGTACAAGCACAAACAGCTGCAAACCAAAGAAAGAGCTAATTGATGGGTTTTGATTCACTGACGCTCCTGAACCTGATCCAATTTTAAATAACTGTGGCTTTTCTTTTCTTTTAAGTCATTGGTGACCCTGAATTGTGTGTTTTTCCAGGTTCCTTCATGTATGTGGACGTCTCTCAGTACGATGTCGGGGAGAAGGCCAGGTTTCAGCTACCTGTCATGAAGGAGAACGACACTCACTGTATCGACTTCAACTATCTGCTCACCAGCCCGGATGGCTCCAGCCCCGGCACCCTTAACGTCTTGGTGAAGGTAATCGGAGTAAACACAGTAAGAGAGAAAATAAGAGACTCTGGGTCGTTATAATACTAATAATAGAGACATAAACTCTCTCAATAAATAAACTCTACAAACATGAATCATGTGAATGGCATACTGACCTCTACGTTGCCGTTTCCTCTGTGCCATGATAATGTAAGGTTGCATACTTTTTGCAAACTCTCCACGTGTCAGGGCTCTGAATCAGGATCAGTCTAACTAACGCACTGATAGCTGCAATTTTGTGACGCAATTATCCAGACCTCATCCCTCCACTTTAGTTGTTTGCACAATCCTCCCGACTTCTCCTCCCCTCTCTCCTCATCCCGAGCTTTCTCACAATTTGTGGAGGTGGTTAGAAAACACATTAGCAGAAGATTGCTATTTTACTGGTTCTGCCATTACCTGGTTCTTAGCAGCAGGGGACCATTATGAGTAGGAAGACTGCCCTTCAATCTGATGGCACAAAGTCAATCCCACATTACTGCAGAATAATCTTACCTGCAAATGGAGTTAAAGAGGTGGTGAATGAGCTGACCCTCTGCCCTCACTTTTGCACAAAATATTACTTAAGTGTGTTATTACTATTTTTTTATTGGTTAACTAATTACATTTCAGTGCAACATAAGCAGGGCCTAATGCATGCAAAAAACTGCAGTCCCTCTAGTGTCCACTTGGGGCTGGCTCCAAAAGCCATTAGTTGTGCCCATTTTTACTGCAGAAATAAACCTGTTTAGAACCTCGTACAAAAAAACAGGGTTGGTCTCTCAGGCTAATTACTTTATTAGTTAAAGACTGTGCGGGGTGAATATTATATAACCTACCCAGCTTGATAATATTAAGGTTAAGAGTGCACATAAATTTGCATACATTTGGACCTGAGTGGACTGACAGGTGAGGGCATTGTAGCTGTTTGCTAGCAGCCTCACAGCCCGCCTAAGCTCTATCTCTTTGTCTGTTTCTACACTGATCGAAAGTTAGGAGGATATAGCATTTTCAATATGGAGACCATCATCGTTCGCCTCGTTTTATACCCAGCTTTATTTTTTTGTCCTCTGTTGTTTTTAGGTAAACAAGGGTCCCTTAGCCAACCCTATCTGGAATGTGACGTCCTACACAGGTGATGACTCCAAGCATAATTTAGACTCATTTTATTACTCATGTCATTATAACGCACGTCATCTTTTCCATGTGTGTGTTAACTGTGGTGTTGTCTTTCAGGCAAAGACTGGCTGAGAGCAGAACTTGCCGTCTCCACCTTTTGGCCTAATGAATATCAGGTAACTCCCTAATTTGCAACCAACGGTCATTTAATGCATGATTACTTTGTTTTGTGTGTCTTTATTTGCAGTAGTTCTCATGTGACTGCACAAACACCACACACACATATGAACACACACACACATGCACACACGCTGTGGGGCAGGCATTTGATTTATTTGTGTTGACTGAGGCTCAGGAGGTGACGATTAGGCTACAAAGACTGAGAAAAACAAGGTGTGTGTGTGGATGTCCACATGAGTATGCAAGCATAGGGTGTGTGTACTGGACATGCATTAATTAGCTACCTCTCAGATATGTTCTCAAACCTGAACATCTCATGATTCACAGAGGTAGAAATGAATACAGACTTGTTAGATAACATTTGTTTGTATATTTCTCCTTTTTTTTTTATGCTTTCATAGTCAGTCAGTGTGATCTGTGTATTTGTGTGTTGACCGGCGTTGACAGATGTGGGCACATTGTGGGATAGCTTGACTCTGAGTGTCCTCGCAGGCAGACACACACTGATCATGTAAACACACGCTGCCTGGGGACTGTATGATATTACTGTAAGGCAAAGTGTGAAAGCATCTTCCAAATGGCCCATCTGGAGCCCAAATGGCCCTCAGTGACTACAGGAGGAGATCACCAGCATGAAACTCGTGTGTCAACATGTTTTAATTGAACATAATCACCCCAGTTTGCTAAGGCTTATGTAGCTTTTTCAGGCTCTGAAAGAGGTTATTGGATTGGAGGTTATGAAGATATTTTTTCATGTTGGAACATGTTTCTGTGTTAGCACTTTGGCAGAGTTGTAATGAGACTGGTTTCACCAGAGGAGTACAGGCACATGCAGGCTCATGCAGTCACACACACGCACACAGTCACAGAATAATGAATGCACACTAAAAGCACATACTCCCACACACAAAAACTATTTAGGTAGACCTTTAATAACAAATTCAATTTTTTTTTTGAATGAACACTTCAAAATTGGTGAGTGAATTTCTTTGCCATCACTGGATTTTAATAAATAATATGTATAATTACCAGTGTTTCCCACAGAATGACACTATACCTGTCTGCCTATTTTCCTCTTCTGTTTTGCGTTAAGTTCCGACAGCTTTGGGTCATGTTAGTACAAACTTTTTTTTTATGCCTGAGAGAATTCAAACTATGAACACTCCTTGCCTGCTGATTGAACATTTTGATTCTGTGTCCACACATGCATACATCAGAGTGATAGATGCTATTGGTTGATAAGAGGATTTATGCTATTGTCCAACTCCTGTCTGGAGTGATGATTTGTCAGTCCTCAGCCTTTAGCATTTTGCCCATGTGAAAACTTGTAAATCCAAGCCATCAGTAATCCCTCCCCACACAGATCTCCCTGAAGAGTCAGGGAGTGTTTGACACCTGCATGATGGAAACACCGTCTCCTCAGAGGTGACCAAAATTGGATTCATGATTCCCACATTGCAAAGATCTTATGGTGGATAATCTGTAATGTTTAGTGTGTAAATGAGCAATGACCTGCAGTAGAACCTTTGAATTGTGGAAATCATTTCAAACGCACAAGTTATTGGTAACAGAGCAGCAGACCTGACACTTCAAAAAAGGTTAACCACAAGTGTCAGATTTTACTGCTGTGAAACCGTACTGACTTTGTATAGAATTCTTAATAATTTTAGTTTGACACACCCTCAACTGACTTGCAGCACTGGTTTTTAATAATGAATGTAATATTTTCCACAAAAAGTTAACTTGTCAGACGATTGAAAGTAGGAAAAGTCATCAGGTCACTTTTTGGCTACCAAAACAAAAATGCTGTTTTAACAAGCCAAGATCTGCAGAATGGAGAGGCGGGCAGTCAGACAGGCAGAGATGAAGGTATTAAAAGTCAAGCGATGTCTTTCTGCCGGGCTCCGCAGTGAGCTATGAGTGAAAGATGATAGGAGAGAGAGACAAGATAGATTGGTTGGGGGAGGAAGGCAGAAAGGGGAGGGGGGGGGGAGTGTGACAAGCAGGGGATGATAAGCTATGGGTAAACAGTTCATGGCAGATTTCCTCTTACAGGTGATGAATGACAACAACTGCTCACCCCCTCGCTCTCTTTCCCCCCTCAGTCACTCTTTTTTGAAAGGGACCTCCTCCCCTCTGTTCATTACTGTGCTCATCTTTGAGCAAACACTGTTAGGAAGCAGAGAAGGCAAGCGAGAGACAGAGAAAAATTAGGAGGGGATAGTAAGTAAGAAGGATTACGTAGAAGAAATGGAAGAAAAAGCGGAGTGGAGGGAGTTGAAGGGCTTATGTAGGGTGAAGAGATAAATATCAAATATTAGTTATTCAGACCTAGAGCTGTTGAACTCAGATAGTGGTAAATGTAAACACCTGTTGAATGTGTAGTATCAGTACTCGAAATGTAGAAATGGAAAGTGGCGCTTTCCTAGTCTTCTGACTACTCAAAGCCCTTTTTACAACGCAGTTCACACCTACACCCATTCACACCCTGATGGCAAATGTTACTTTGTAAAGTGACCATCTCTAACTAATCCATTCACACACATTCACTTGACGCAGGAGCAATTTGGGGTTCAGTGTCTTGCCCAAGGACACTTTGACATGTGACCTGCAGGGGCTGGGGCTCAAACCCCCGACCTTCTGTAACTGCACTTACTCTACCAATGAGCAATGGCCGCCCCACCTATATTGATTAGAGTAGAAGGGGTATAGCAGTTAAGACAACTACCTTAAATCACTCGATTTGATCTTCCAATGTTTTTCCTTTTATCACAGTTTAGTGTAGAAGTGTAGCAAAGGTATATGTAACAAATTCACTCAGCTTAGCATGTCACATTGACTTATTTTGTGTAGATGTTGAGGTTACATAATGCTCATTTGGTGTACATGTTTAGGTAAAGTATGCACAAAGTAAACAGGTTGGCTTACTGTAGTTCGGCTTGTAGCATGCACAGTACTTTGTACATGTTGAGGTGAAGTATGGACTACGTAAGTTGACAGGTTCACTTACTGTAGCGTGTAGCATGCTAACAATTGCTTATTTAGTGTACATGTTTGGGTGAAGTATATTAAGTTAACAGAACAGTTAAGCACACGGCATGTTAAAATGTACATATTTCGACATGGTAAGGTTTAGTATACTTCATGTAGCATTCTAATAATTCCCAGTTAAATATTTCAATGTAATGTTAATAAATTCCCTTTACTACTGTGTGTAGCATATCAACATTATTTAGGTTGTTCAGTGAAGTATACTTTATTTAACTTTTTTTTTTAGCATATATAAAACCTAAGCATATTGCTATACAGTATATTTCCCCTGCAAAGAATTAAAGTGAAACTTAGATCTGCTGTTAGTGCTGAGCTCATACATTTTGAGCTTTAGCTTAGCTTGAAAAATTAAACGGCATCATGAAGTTTAAAATGTTCACTCCTTAACGGTACTGTCAGAGACCCGAACATGGAATTTAATTCATCAAACTTTGGACTGCTACTTGTTTTAAAACGTGGTGCTTTAAAGAAAGGAAGCCAGATGAAAAGAACAAGTCAAAGGAGAAATAAAATAGAAGCTAAATAAAAAAATAAATAAAGGAGGGATGACATGGAAAGGAATAACAAATAGATCCTGTCATTCTCTCTGCCACCACATTTGGCTCCATTAATTATTATCATTTCTGTTGCAGCCATTTTGTATGTACCAAAGGAGATTACAATGATCCACCAGGAAGTATCTCATTTATCCTTCTTGGCTTGTTGGCCAGAATGTATAAATCCAGCAGCAGCCATGATGGCAGCTTTGTATTATCCAGTTTAATGCACATCACTGACGGCTGTCACCGACTATCTATCTGTACTGTGACAACTTAGATAACATCCATCACCTCGACAGCAAATTTAAATGGCAATATGCTTACTTTGTAGCTCGCAGTGCAGTCAGAATACATCTCAAACTTAGAGACACAGTGTCTGATTTGGTAACAATAACAAACAGAGTTGATGTTCTGTAACAGTGCCATAGAGGGTTTGTGATGTGCACGCTGAGCTGTTGTTGGTTATGTAAGTTCCATTTTTCTCCCAGGAACAGTTCTCTTTTGTTTTTGCTGCTGTTTCATTTTGGGTTTTGGACTCTTTTTTTTTTCTTTGCTCACGGTGTTCCAATAACAAAGTAATTGATGGTCAGAGAAGACTTGATATACTCATAATCTCATATGTGTTTAATCTAAAAAGCCCTAAGTACACATTGTAAGCAGGCCCACACTCTGCAGAAATGTGAGGAAATAAAACAACAAACGAAAGTTAATTAAAAACTTTTTTCTCTCACATTTCTTCTGCTTTCATAAGCAAGCTTATTTATTGCTCCATGTAATTGTTTTCTGAAGGTATATACATTTCTGTGTGTTTGTTACTTCTACTATGTGTGTTTATTTTGTGCAATAAAAAAGTAATATAAATCTTGTTTTAATATAGGATGGTAATAGGATGCAGTGTAATATTGATACAAATCGAGGGCATAATAGCTATCCCTTTCTCTTTTCCTCAGGTCATATTTGAAGCAGAGGTTTCGGACAGCAAAGCCGGCTTCATCGCCATCGACGACATTCAGGTGCTCAGCTACCCATGCGGTGAGTCATTAGCATGCCAGCAATTAGTCGTAGTTCGCTGAATAGACGCTGATAACTTTGGCCACTAATTAGACTGTACCCGGGATGGTTTCTGTTGCAGTCGAACGGTTAGATAAGTGGGAAGGTGACACGGGAGAGGAGGGTTGCAGCGACAGGAGAAAAGGCGAGTCGTAGGGGGAGAATGAGAGAAATAAAAAGAACGCGCGAGAGATTGTGAGCGGCAGCAACGGAGAGAAAGAGGGAAGAGGGAGAGACTGAAGCGGGAAATGAGACAGTATTAGGGCAATCATAGAGGGAGAGGATTCTGACCACTCAGCACTTTCTCCATCTCTCTCTCTCTCTCTCTCTCTCTCTCTCTCTTTAACCCACATGCACACACACACACACACACACACACACACACACACAGAGGGAGTGAACAGTAGCAGTCTTGTCTCTTACTGACAGGAAAGAGATGAGGGCTGCGATCCATTTTAAATTCAAGCTACGTCTCAAGTCTTCTTCTCCCCTTCGTTCGAGTGTTTCCTTAGGGGCCAAAAGAAGAGTTGTGACGACAAACTGTGACCATTAACAGAAAAATCTAGAGCCATAGGCAGGATCCTGGAGGGTCGCTATGTTTGAAAAGGAAGCAATCACAACTCCTCGTGGACATCTGTCTTATAGCAGCATTACATCTCAGAGGACTTTTCTGAATAGATTCTATTGATTTTTAAGTCATAGGTATAAAATATCTCGCAACATCCTCTTGAAGGAGGGTGGTTACACCCCATATCATGTAGGTGAAGGGCAATAAAAATACAATCAAGAAAAGAAGACAAGCCTGCACACTTACTCAATGCCACAAACGTTTACCAATCACCACCTTTAGACCCAGTGGTCTTCATCTGGTGATATCATTAAGTAAGTGTTGATTTTCCTGCTTCGTCCTCTTTTATGATAAATGAGGTCTGGGGCTCACTGCCTCTGTCTCCGTTTCTTAAAAAATGAAGTTACAGCAGTGAGATGTCTCTAATGATACGTAAGTCTCTTTATTAAAGAAATTCCTGAACTTTAAATTAGTTGATAAAATGATCTGTAATGAGTGAGTGGAAATATAAATAGAAGAGTCTTTTAAAGGCAGAGGAGCAGGACTCTTAATAGGCAGGAGCAAGTATTAGTACTTCACAGTGGAAGCATTCATTCTCACAGCTGCATTTCTGGACACACAGGTTTGTGTGTGTGTGTGTGTGTGTGTGTTCGTGTTTGCATGAATGCATGTGTGCAAGCGAGTGTGTGTGTGTGTGTGTGTGTGTGTAGCTGAAATCTATGATTGCAATCACCTCCCCAGAATAAAAATGTAACAGCCAAACTGCATCTTCAGGGTGTGAAAGGCTTATTTCATATCTCAGCCTCGTAGTTAGGAATTTGAAGCTATGCAAATTCTCTCCACTGGATGTGACAGTGATGTTACCTCCCAGTGGCTATGCAGCACTGCATCTGGCTTCATGGGACTTTAGTAAAATCTAATCACTGTAATAATGAACAAAGTCCTCAGGGTTAGAAAATGCCCTGAAATGTATATGGTGTGTTGGGATAACTCCACCCGTTTGAATCCATTACTCCCCCTGGCTCTGTCGCCTCATTGCTGCCTTTAACAGACCAATTAAAAACCGAGACCAAAAACATCTTTGAACGCTTCCATGTGTATCCTTTCTGTTAAACTAATCTAATTTGCCTTCATTTGGTCAATCCCTTTGCTGTAGATAAATCCCCTCATTTCCTGCGCCTTGGAGACGTGGAGGTCAACGCCGGACAAAACGCAACATTTCAGTGCATCGCTACAGGACGAGACACGACGAACAATAAACTCTGGCTGCAGGTACAGTTGTACACCTACAGTACATGTAAACACACTAATAAAGCTCTACTGCAATGGGATTAACAAGAAACTAACACGAGACATCCGCTTTAAACAAAGTAAGCCTGATGGGGATATGAGGGGGAAGAGGGAACAGTAGAGTGATGTATCCTGTGTCAAAATGCAGTGAAGTGCAAATGATATTCCTATACACAGTGGTCCTGTCTTTGTAAACAGTAAAGGGTACTTTTGAATATACAGAGACACAACTAGAGGTGAGAAAAAAATGTTTTTAATATCTTACATATTAGATTATCTGTCTTTGACGATGCACACCCGTAAGAGGATGTAGAAATTGTCCACAGAGATCAAATATTGTGCTTAATGTGCCATCCTCAGGACTGCCACATCCAATAATAAAGTGTCATCCACACACACACACACACACACACACACACACACACACACACACACAGGCGTCCTCACACACAGAATGACCCCGGGCCATACATCCTAGCAGCTAACATGATTAAGAGTTTAATAGCTGCTGATTTTATTATGGCTCTATTGTAGTCATGACCTTCAAACCTGCTGTCAGGGAGGCTGAGAGGAGTTGTGTGTGTGTGTGTGTGTGTGTGTGTGTGTGTGTGTGTGTGTGTGTGTGTGTGTGTGTGTGTGTGTGTGTGTGTGTGTGTGTGTGTGTGTGTGTGTGTGTGTGTGTGTGTGTGTGTGTGTGTGTGTGTGTGTGTGTGTGTGTGTGTGTGTGTGTGTGTGTGTGTGTGTGTGTGTGTGTGTGTGTGTGTGTGTGTGTGTGTGTGTGTGTGTGTGTGTGTGTGTGTGTGTGTGTGTGTGTAGGTGGCTGTGTGAGGTCCTGCACTACCTTGTGACCTTGAGCAAGGCAGCTAACTGTCTAGCAGCCTTTGCAGCGCCTCACCTTTCTGTGTATTTCTCTGTGTTTTAGAGGAGAAATGGAGAAGACATCCCTGTGGCTCTGACCAAAAACATCAATCACAGACGGTTTGCCGCTTCCTTCCACCTCAAAGAAGTGACCAATCAGGATCAAGATCTGTACCGCTGTGTCACCCAATCAGAGCGAGGCTCTGGGGTGTCCAATTTTGCTGGTCTTATCGTAAGAGGTGAGTTGTTGTTGGAATTTTTTTTACTCAACTTTCCAACTATTTTTTTAAGCATGTTGACCCTTCACTTGGTTTGACCTGAAGTTAGTGTCACTGCACATAATACAGTTAACGATGCCAACGGTCGCTCCCAACATTTTATGGAATTCATTAAAACATGGCCCCCTTTTTTGTCAGTCAGAGGAAGACCACATTAGGCTACCCGTCCTAAGCTTTCATATGTCAAGTTAGCAGATTAATCAGCTGTAACTAGCTCGCTATCTAAGCTTTCCCAGTTACATGAGTTGGTAGAAAACGTCGGCCTCTAGCTGACTTGTTAATGTTTCCTGCTGACATGTTTTTAAACAAGAGGTCTGTAAATGAGAATACAGATATAAACTTGATACAGGTTAGCATGCTAACAGACTGTAGCTAAGCCTACAAGTCGCTTACTGAATGCCAGGATTCCCACCAGCAGATTATCCAAGTAGTAGACGTAAAAATAAAGAAGCTGTGTTTTTCTAGTGTAAAGTCTGAGCATTATTAGTATGATTAGGGACAATGCATTAGTCTTTCTTCATGCTAATATCACACTGTTTAGATTTTTAGCCCATATGAGGAAAACCAAGACAGGTTTTGTTTTCCAATAAAGAGGAAAGGGCCACCACGTTAGCTTAAAATATCCTAGCATGCAGAAATAAACCTTTACAGATGAGCTAATGCTACTCAGACAAATATCTTGTGAGATCTAAACAGAACGCTTTCTTGTGTTTGTCTGGCAGTAAGTCCATCAATTACAGTCCACAGAGGGGTTTATCATGTGGTCTGTTATCAAGCTGGTTTGAATATTTTGATGACCCCATCTTCGTAATTTTCTTCACCCAATTATATTGTGTGTTATTAGTAACTTTATATTGTGTTTAACTTTTGGAGTGTCAAATGCTTTTTTCCCAATCAAATGCATATTCCCTCCGTCTGAAAAATGTGAGTCACTAACAGAATATAGACTAATGAGAAGAGTGTGAGTGTATGCAGATGTGTGTATATGCAAGGCTAGTCTGTGTGTGTGTGTGTGTGTGTGCAAGTGTGTGTGCAAATACTGTGTGTGTGCTCACGTGGGTGTGAATCAGCTGCGTTAGTTTCTGTGTGCAGATGTGTTTCCTGAGAGTGTGTGTGTGTGTGTGTGTGTGAGTGGCAAGCGTGTGTGCTCTAGCTGTCATGTGCAGCTGACATGCGGTTAATAAGGTGTCACCAATGTGTGTTTGAGACGGGATGCTTTATTCATTCACATTCAATAGCTTACATATTCAATTCATCTCCCAGGGAGAGAGAGAGGGGGGGGGGGGGGAGGGCAGAGGGGAGTAAGGGGGAAAGAGATGCAGGAAGAATGATACGACAGTGACAGAGAGAAGAAGAAGGGGGGAGGGGGGGAACTCAAGTGAGAGAAGTGGAAATGGTGAAGAAAAGTTAAATGTAAATAGTCTGCTCATTATCCCAGGAATATCCATATCAGAATCAGGAATATGTCTGAATATGTAAACAGCTGAGCACACAGTCATGTTTATTATTCTGCATAAGAGATGGCAGAGGGGAAAGAAAATGAAAGAAATGAGAAATCAAAGCAGAGAGAGGATCATGAATATGAATATTGGCCTGTGTGTGGTGGCTCTGATAATGGAGCTCTTACAGCGTCCAGTTTGAGGGTTTCACCCCTGTGTCGCCTGAGAAGACACCCCTGACACAGCTAAAGAGATGGTTACGATCCCTGCAGGGAAGGAAAAGATTTGTTCTGTGGTCAAGTCAGAAGAGGTTTTAGAGTAGTACTTTTTCTCTGTAGGACCTTGCTGATCTAGTAAGAATACATAAGTGGCTAATGTTTATTTATCAAGAACATCTTTTTTTTTGAGTATAGGAAGGCAAAGAGAAGAGAGGGAGAGACGGGAATCCGCTCAGCTGGAGACATGTGTCTAAACAGGAATTGGACCAATCTACATATATGTATTCAGGTTCAAGAGGGCACACACATTGAGCGCTGCATGTTTCATAGCCAGGCATCAGCTTGAGAAGCAGCCACATCCACACTCTCTGAAAAGATGCTTGTGGACCTCTGAGGGATATTGGTGATAATGAATATTGATCCAGAGTGGTTGATAGAAAGATATCACAATAATAAAAAAAAAAAAAAAAGCAAGGACTGTGTGCATGAACGTGGAAGGAGAGGAGCCTCATGTTTATTTATTAGAAATATCAGATGGGAGATGAGAGAAGCCAGAGTGAAATCAAAGGAGCAGGGAATATGTTTATTTCACGTCTTGAAAAGTATGCGTGTAGGAGATTTGAGGCTCCTGCAGGACATTGACGAACATGAATATGGACAGAATCAAGCTGCATTATTAATAGTTTTACGAATATTATACTTTTTAATATTCTTTTTTTTTTTGTGCGTGAAATTGTAAAGCAGGACAGGAAATATGATGGCTGGCGGAAATATGTATCTGTTAAGAATCTGCTGAACAGTAAAATCCAAAGTAAGAGTCATAGGGAAGTGGGAAATTATGACATGAATATATGAAAAAGGCGGCAGGAATAACCCAGGTTTCATTTTGCAGAGCCTTAAAGTGGTCTGCTGGGTGTTGAGATTGCCTCTGTGCAGGTACGTTCAGACCTAGTCTATTGATATTTACTACATGTAGATGACTGCAATGTGCCATTATCTTCTCCCTCTGTGTGTGCTGGATCTGTCAACATCAGAGGGAGGAAGCACGATATGTAGAGACGAAGAAGTATCATGGGACTATAAAGGGGGTGACATGGGATTCCCAAATATTTCTTATACTTGTGTATTTTTCTCTCTTTCATTTGCAGATATATGACATTTCACTAGGGGTGGGACAGAATATTGATATGGCAATAAATCGTCTCCCTGACTCAAATATGGAATCATACAAATATTGAATTGCTTGTTCAAAATGTCTGTATTTTCATTTTTAAAAATAGCGCACTCTCAACAGATTTCCCCTGTAATTTGACTCGCTTCATCTCTACTTAAAGACTCCTCACAGAGGTTTATGACATGACTAAGGGTAACATGAATAGAATTGAATTGGCCAAAATAGATGCTGTAGTAGATGTGTCGGACAGTGGTGAAAGGAAGTGAAAGGATGAAGCGTGATAAATGAATTAATCTTAAAGTTTACTTGTGAGCTTCGTATCATATTGAATTTTATCGTATCGTGAGCGATTCCTTCCTCAACAATTCACTAATCTTTACTTTATAAATTAAACTGTCCCTTATCTTTAAAATAATAAAAAAAAGATTATTTGTCCACAAAAGCCTTCATATTGACAAAAGACATCTTTAAATTCCCCGTTTTTTGTTCAATATTAAAACATTTGTTTGACAGAAAGTTTTAAAAACTACCGTTTGTGTCCGTTTTAGAGGCTGGAAACAATACAAACAGAACAGTTGCTGATTTATCCGTTTATCAATTAGTCGATTAATATACAAAAGTGTTTGATTCACAAAATCATTTTAGTTTGGCATGTAAATATTCAAATGTAAAAAATGTAAGGATACGTTTTTGTGCGGCTTCATCATTTTTTACAATCTAATAATTTCAGTTGAGCTAATCTTCATTTTCAGAAATGTGCAGAAATGACAAATATGTTTCTGTTCTCACATAAACTTAGTTTGAACATATTAAAGTGTTGTCATTTTACAAAGTAAGCCGAATTTACTGAATAATGAATGTCCTTTTAAACCCAGCAAGGCCCTCTTAACTATTTGATGAAACAAGAAGTAAACACTTTAAAAGTGAGCTTTTCAGAGTCGGCCTTTGTTTCTCTACAGTTTTGTTCAGATAGCAGGGAGCAGCACTTCCTGAACAAGTCCTTCTAGATAAACAGCTTATAACTATTGTGTGTTTGTGTGTAAGACACAACGGCCTGAGAGACTGACTGTGTAGGCCTATATACATGTAAGTGTGTGTGTGTGTGTGTGTGTGTGTGTGTGTGTGTGTGTGTGTGTGTGTGTGTACATGTGTGTGTGTGTGTCACTAGTGGTTTGGTCAGTGCCGAACTCTAATAAAGCCTTGCCCTCTGGTTCCTACGGTGACAGAGCGCATCATCACGCCAGCTCGCATCACACTCACACACACACTTAAATACACTCGCAAACACACCATGCCAGCATGCATTACACACAACCCATGGCCTAAAAAGCTCCTGCAGTATTATTGTCACACACACAAGCACACCAACACACACGTTTATCAGACTTAAGAGGACAAGCAACTGACTTGGATTCATACAACTGTCTTAAAAGCTGTAATAGTCCACTTCTATACTGTCACACACACACACACACACACGCTCACGCACACACGCTCACACTAAGTGATGATGACAGGTGAAGCTGCAGGCGTTATGGAACTAAAGAAAACCAACTTACCACTGTTGGCTGTCAATACAACTGAAACGCACACGTTTACACACTTGTACACACACACACACACACTCCTCTCTCGCACTCCCACTGAGGTCAAATGTCCTCCAGTGAGCTCCATGGTGATGTCAGCAGCGGTTTGTGAGAACTTAACTTTATTGACAAGGTTGCTGACTACGGACAACAAAGAAGAACATGCCTAGTGGGCGCCAGGCGCTAACAAAATGTCCTCTTTATTTCTGTTTTTCTTTATTTTTGTTTGTCTCTGTGTTGATGTCATAAATCTTAAATCTATCATTCCCACTACTACCAACGCCTCAGGAGATTTTTTTGTTTTAAAATTTCTATAAAGGAAGTGAGTGACAGTGAATGTTAAATTAATCACGCTGTCAGGGGGTCAGAAACGACACACCAGTTTGAAGTTTTTCCCCACATTTGTTTTGTTATTATCATTTACATTTGACCCAAAAACAGAGAAAAGCTGGAAGGGTTCACATTTGTGATTAATAATTAAACGGATGGTGCCAACAAAACCCATCACAAAACAACACCATTGATGATTGTTGTTTTATTTGGGTCAGCTGTACAAATGACAAGTAATGGAACAGAAAATAAAGCAAAATCAAAAGCAGGAATTGGCTCCAGCGCTTGTTTTCTCTGGAGTCACATAATGACCCACTTACAATCCTCTCTGTTTCAATCTTATTTTTTATCTTTTAGAAATATAAAAGGTTTTAAAGTAACACAGTTATAAGTTAACACCCAGGCTGCAACCAAAAAAAACTCCCATTTTCTCGCAAACACCTAGTGAGGGTTTCTTTTATTTGTTTATTTTTTAATCATTTTGTTGTTTACTTTGTGTATTTGATGGCGTTGCAAGCTGACATCTTGTTGACGTTGTTGGTTTTCTGAAGTCACTTCAACATTCATTATCTGGATTCAACTCTGGCTGCATGTTTGTTTGCTGGTGTGTGTGTGTGTGTGTGTTTGTGTGTGTGTGTCTGTGTTTGCACACATACACACTTGTGCTGTCAAACTACAGTGTTTCATCTGTTGCTAAAAAGACGCTTCCCAGCCTGCGCCTCTCTGACAGCCGCATTCAACACAGACACACACACACACACACACACACACACACACACACACACACACACACACACACACACACACACACACAGAAGCAGAAATGCAGACACACACAAAAAGAAAAGGAAGTGACACCACTGCAAAATATAACGATTAAAACTAAAACATGCACATACACACATACATGCACACATATATTTAGATAATGCTAACTTTGATATGATATGAGGGAAGCTGGATTGCAAAAATCACTATCTTCATACTGATAGCTATACAGTCTGGCAGTGCGCTTGAAAATGTGTCTCGGAGAGATAAAATCTGTATGATTTACTGTGTGTGTGTGTGTGTGTGTGTGTTGAGAGATGGTTTGTGATTAATTCATGTGTTGATCTGTGTGTGTGTTTATGTGTCAAGTAGATAAATCTTTGATGCAGCCTGTTATAAGGTTTGTGTGTGTTGGTGTGTGTTGTGCTTTCTGCTTGTCAATCACAGATGTTTGACAGTTAGCTCTGATCAGACTGACTGGCCCTGAACCGTCACACATCCATCACATTTCTGCACAAGTACACACACACATACAGTATCTGTTTACTGAGAGCATCACGGCATGTAGTACACGGCTGAACTTGAAGACATATGTTGAACGAAAACAACAATGTGAGCAATCCATTTTTCCCTCACTAAAACTATAGAAAAGGAAGATATAGATAAAAAGAAGCATATTATTTAAAAATCATTTAGTTTACTTCACACTCAGATGCCAACTTGTGCCATAAAAAAAAAAAAACTTGAACTTAACTAGCAAAACCAAGTATACATGTTTATATTGCTGTTAGCAAGCAACTACTTACCAATGCCCCTTTATAAACAGACGTTTAGGTCCACTGTCTGTAAACGTTCTGCAATATGTCACCTCTAGGTGGGACCTGGTGAAATCTGTCACTTTGAAGTTTGAAAAGTCAAAATGAATAGTTTGTTCACAGATTAACGTAAAAGAAAGTAGTTTGTTTGAGAAATGAACTTAAGCTCACACAAATCCAATGTTTGTTGTTTATGACTATAGTATGTTATTCCTTTTAGCCACCACCGTCTTCTGTCCTGCTGTGACCTTGTGTTGGTCTGTTTCATTCATCTTCTAAATGTTCTCTTTGAAGCCGTCTTTTACGATCTTTGTTCATTGTGTTCTCTCCTCAGAGCCTCCTCACCCCATCGCCCCGCCCCAGCTGCTCGGCGTCGGCCCCACATACCTGCTGATTCAGTTGAATGCTAACTCCATATTTGGAGATGGACCTATAATACTGAAGGAGGTATGTTCAGTGGGAGACACTGCATGTTTGTGTTTTTTTAAGCCATAACTTGTGAGTAACAACATTGTATGAAACCACAATGTCAGGACATAAAACATAAACAATACTTAAATGTAAAATAGACTTTGTTTTGTCAACAGTAGCAAGAGATAACCAAAACACTTACAACAAAAACAGTCGATTATCTTTTCACGGGTAATAAATAAAACTGTGTTTTACTCGACCTAGTTCAGATATAGTGTAGCAGATGTTCTGTCTTCATTAGAGAGAGTATTATGTAATTGTAAGAATAAGCAAGAACTAAGAAGTAAGGGACAGTAATGCTTTGAGATTTAAAAAATGAGATCGAACATGTTTATTATTGATGACCGCCTGTTCATATTAAAGTTAATAAATTAATGTTCCTGTATTTTTTGGGGGGCCACTTTTTAGTACAAATGGCTGGGTAAAGAAATAAACCACTGTACACTAAAAAAATGACTTTATTGTGAATTTATTGGGAGCAAAGTAAAAAGTTTCACATGCAGCTTGTTGGCTTATCGAAGCACAAAGACTAAAAATAAAGGGGGAACAGCTGACTAAGTTTGTCCAACTGTTTCAAATCTGCCAAAGCAGCACTTCTTAATCTCAGTATTTATGATTTGATATTATGTTTATTCTGCACAAAAAGCAAACTATAAAAATGAAGCATGTGCTTTTGTGAGGCTTCGACCTTTGACCTGTGGTAATCATGATGACTTTGATTCAAATGTGTAATCAGGCCAAATGATCCAAACTATAATATGTTCATATCTGCTCCCCCCCCCCTCTTTTAGGTTGAGTACCGAATGACATCAGGCAGCTGGACGGAGACTCACGCTGTAAACTCTCCAAACTATAAGTTATGGCATCTTGACCCGGACACAGAGTACGAGATCAGAGTGCTGCTGACCAGACCAGGAGAGGGAGGAACGGGGAAACCTGGACCGCCACTCATAACAAGGACCAAATGTGCAGGTAGGACTTGGACACATATGTTTGATGGCAGTTCTATCTCCTGCTGTTCTTATTCTTATTTTATAACTGTAACTATAGAGACACATTATCTGTCTGATGATGAAGTTTATGTACCTTCATGAGTCTTCCAGTTTTGGTTTTGTATCCACATGGGTTCCAGTTTAAATGAAAGTTTCCCCTTACATACTTTTATATACTTTCCTCACTTTTAAACAATAATGAGTACCGTAACCCTGAACTGTGTGTCAAACAGAAGAGGTTGGTAACTTGATTTCTGCTTGGTCTTCTTTTGCTCACAGCTTTTTTCTGCCCGTCTGATTGTCTATCGATCCGTCCATCCACTGTTGTTCTTTTTGTCTTGGTCTCTATATTTCAGTTACTAGAGTGATGTTTATTCTATGAGCAGGAGAGGAGAGGTGTAGCGGGGGATAGAAATGGAGAATAAAGGTGGGGAGAGCCTGAGTCAGACTGTGGTTGCTCAGTGATCTGAGAGAAAGAGTGATTAAAATACTCACGGCCCTCTCCACCTTTCACACTTTTTTATCCTGCTTTTTCTTTTCCTTTCGGCTTCTCCTCCTCTCTCTCATATCTTTTATTCCCCCATCTATAAAATCTCTTTCTGCTTCGTTCCCTGTCGCTGCCTCTCACCCCCTTTTTTTTTTTTTCTTCTCTCCCCCGGCCTCTTTCTCCCCATCTCTTTCTCTCTCTCCGCGGATCAATAGACGGAGGGCAGAAACACTGTCTGACATTTGTAGAAATAAACGACTGAAATATAAACACAGCTAGCCTGAGGGAGAGAGACGGAGCGAGAGAGAGAGGGCTGATATGAGAGGGAAAGAGACAGAAAGAAAAGCAGCGAGCTTGAATGAGAAACAGAATAAAGGAGCGATGGAGAGATGATGAAAAACAATAAGGCAGGAAAAAGAAAGAGGAGAGAAAAAGAAGCGAGCACAGAGGCGAGACAATGATGAAACTGGAGAATGAAAATGAAAGAGAGATGAAAACTCATAACCACAGGGCCTGACTGATGCCTTGCAACCTGTGTGTATATATATGTGTAAAAGGATCTGTGTGTGTGTTTTTGCCTACGTGTGTTTATTGACAGAGAGGAAGTCATAGACTTGTTCGTGCAACTCATGTATTGAACAGTTTCCTGTTTGACAGGAAAAGGAAATTAATCTTCTGCTCCTCGCTAACACTGGAGCAGAATCCAGTTAAAGACAATAACTCATTGTAATCCACATAATGCCTCCATATCAGACCAAAGCACGGAAATATGGTTATGAATTTAGAGAATTACATCAAATCATTCTGTTTATCGGAGCCATTTCTGTCGACTGACTCGAAAGTAGTCCGACTATTATGAGTGATGATCAGAGGGGAGACATCTGAGATTAGCTTTGAGGGAATTTCTACTGCAATGTATTTCTTACAACAGCAATGCAGCATAATGTCAGAATAAAGAAAATCTTCTTGCATGTTAATATTTCAAATATTGTTTAGTGTTTGACCTTTTGGACAACACAGGACATCTAAGCCCTCTGCTGATCTTATCTTGTGAAAGTACCGTGTTGTCTTTGAACAGTCAAATAAAAGACACATCCTTGCCCTGAAAACACGTAAATAAAGCCCGATTTAACAATCATCTCATCTGACACCTTCCAGGTGACAGCAGGTTCAGACTTTAGGAATAACTATGAAGACATTTTTGAGCAATCAATCACTAATCTGTATAGCGCCACACATGCAGAGCCGGTTTAGACTGTACTCTTAGTTATATTACTTACAGAGACCAAACAGAAATGCACCATGAGCATGACCCTCCGCTTCCCAACCCAAGTCCCTACATTCTGAGCTTCTGCCGCACGCCCATAATAAGAAAGAAACTTCATTCCTTGTTTGGATGCTGACTTTTTCTTGGTTTCATCATGGATAAGGAACCAGACACATTGTTCAAAGAGACTCCCATTCATTCAATATGAAAGTTTCTCCCTGAGAACAAACCTGGGATTAGGCTGAGAGGCCTCTGCAGACTTCTTCATGTTTCTTCATCTTTCTTAAAGAGCATCTGTATAACAATCTTTTTCCACTTGAGCACCATGCGAGCATCAGCTGACTTCCCATTGTCTCCTGGTACATTTTAATGGGATAATATCTTCCAAATGTAATTGGATCAAATGGTTCAATTTCTGACCATAAAAAAATAATCACTTCGGGGAGTTTGTGAGACTCGTAAAATGTGTCCTTTTTTTTTTTTTTTTTTTTTTTTTACGGTTGCTCGTTTTCATCAACTGTGTACAGTAAACGTGTTTTTCTGGGCAGCTTGTGTCTCATAAAGCTGCAAGAGGTTACAATAAAGAGAGTGACAACTAGCAACAATTATATCAGAGTATGGCACTTTTCCTGGGTTTGGCCTAAAGTTGGTTACTTCCTGGAGTTTTTCTCGATGGTCTATTGATCTCATTTTGACAAAAAACAACCTGCCAAGAGCTATGCCAGCAGATACATCACATAATGTATGTCAGCACAATTTAGACTTTTGCACCCAGGGTAATAAAAACACAGCGATACGATGTGTTAGTGACTAAGCTTTAGTAATCAATCGATCAATCGATCTTTATTTGGATAGCACCAATTCATAACAAGTGTTGTCTTGAGACGCTTTACAAAAAGCAGGTAAATGACCTGACTCATTGCTATATTACAAAAACACAGCTTTCACCCATCATTAGCAACATTAAGCAGAATTACAGTGGCAAGAAAAAAACTTCCTTTTAAGAGGCATCGTGGGCAAATCCTGTTCTCATGACGAAACAGCCATCTACCGAAACTGTGCCGGTTTTGACAGATGGGATAGGAGGAGATGGGATAAGATGCAGTAATGGTACATTTATTTTTTTTACCTCTTTGCAGATCAATACTAGATGTGTAAAAACAGTTAGACTTATTGGTGTAAAGGTAGTTTTATAGAATTTCACTTTAAGTCCCATACTACACATTTTGGACGCTATTCCTTATACTAGCTTATATTTTAAATAACTCCACCTAATATACATAAACATGTCATTACTGGGATATTCTTTCTGGCTTTATTATTATTGTTGTAGAAATATATCTTCCCTGTCTTTTTCTGTTTGTTTCTCAGTGTGACAAAGGTCATTCAAACACACATACCTGGAGATGTGTGTGTGTGTGTTTATTGAGGAAGAGAACAGAGACAGACACGTGGTAGAAATGTTATTTAAATGGTAATGATTCCTTTGCTTTTTCTGTTTGGTTAGGTTTGACTGATCCCACCACCTGTAGTTTACTGAATATTTAGTTGGATGCAAAGTAATGAAAACATGTGCGCACACTCACAGAGGGAAATGTGTGCACACACACACACCAGGCATAAACCCAAGCATGCCTCTGCACAGAACACAGTTTAATTAAAAACCAATAAAGTTAATAAGATACAGAGCAGGAATCACACGCAGAGCAATTGATATGATAACAAGGAGGATTTCATCTCCACCCCTCTCTTCTTTTCTCCTGTCATCCCTTCTTCTGCACTTTAAAAATAAATTCTATTACTTCTCCTTTCTCATTTTCCCTTGGTCTCTCCCCCCTTCTCCCACTCTTTTCAGTTCTTCTTCTGTGGTGATTTATTGCTCTTGTCTGAAGGGTAAAAATGATAAACTTGAACTGAAGAGTTACTGAGTGTGTGTGTGTGTGCTGTGTGCACATGTATGTGTGTGACAGAAGGAAGTGATGAAGTAGCCTTTAATCCAAATCCAGAATTTTCTGCCGAAAACCTCTTGGTCATGGCAGGTTAGACACACACACACACAATGACGCACGCACGCACACACACACATAGTTCAGAGAGTCATAGTATTTCTCATATGTTGCACAAAGTCAGCAGCACTTGGATTAATGGAAGAATGGAATCCACAAAACGCACATTTTTAGACACACAGCAGATATGTTGTAGAAATCCCATACAATATATCGCATGTAGTTCTTTATACATGTGATAACGCACACAAAATATACACACACATGCACACAGTCAGCAGTGCGACGCTTTAAGGGTCAGACCCTTGAAATAGCAGCCAAAAGATTAACAGACATAGAACTGCCCAGTGTTGTTTATAAGAGTCAGAATGTGTTCGTGTGCATTTTGTCCTTTTGGTAGATGTTTGTCATACTCAGGATGGCTAATATGCGAGGGGCAGGTTTATCGATTAAGGACAAAAGAACCTTAAACTGTGTTTTGTTAAGAAATGTTGCTGAGGTTTGAAACATTAATCTCAAAGATGAAAGGTGACGGCCTCTCTGTAAGGAAATCTAGTCCTTGGTTTAAAAAAAAAAAAAAAAAAGACCACAATTATTGACATGAACTTAATTGAGCTGTTGAAGATCAAAGGAAGGGAAGTAGATTTAATGTATAAGGTAGATTTTCATCAGTACAGAGTGCTTTATGTTTAATTGCCAAAATAAAGGTTAAATCAAAATAGAATAAATTGCACACTGTTATGTAGTAGTTAATGACCACAGCTGATGGGCCTCACATTTGGATTAACAGCTGACATAAGCAAGGGCTTACTATTCACTATACTAACAGTGGGGCCATGCACTTTTGTCTAATGTCGAAAAGTTACAGTGACATGGCCGACTGCGGCCTTAGGGGATGCCAAATGTTCAAACATAAAGAATCTAGCAGTCTGTGTCATTCAACTGCATCCTAATGGATCAACAAATGACATAGAGGACAGCCTAGACTCCAGAAGGATCCACATCAGGCCATAATTGAGCTAAAACAAGAAAACCCAACAGTGAATGTTGGCATTTAAATACTGTCTTACATATAGTACCGTTATCACTGTTGAACCATAACGTAAGCATTCAACTAGTATCTAATACTTTAAAAAATGAATGCATTTCTATGCCGCAACACTATAAAACCATCAAACCATAATGTTTTCATACAGCCACCATTGAGCTAATAAAATAATGTCTTTAATATAGTACAACACAATTGAACCATAATGCTAGGATTTAGCTACCATTTAGCTATTACTAGTCTATTATTAGCAAGGACATTTTCCTTTTCCTATCTTATTTAACTATTAAACAGTAATGTTGCTTCTCACCAATATCTAGCTAATGGGTAATCAGGTATGTTGCTCATTACACTTTGTCCCTCTGGATTTTCACTGGCAAGTTCATTTATTTGAAACAACTTACAAGCTTGAGTACAATAACTTTATAACAGCAGTGATTGTTTCTACCAACCTAATTCTGAGCTTGTTGATATCTGACGTATGATCAACTTGTATACCATTTCATACTCTCTATAAAACAGTCAGGGTCGGTCGCCTATTGCATTATAAGCTTCTACATAGAAAAACCAGAAAGTGCTTGTGAGTGCAATTTGAATGGATGTCGTAGCGCAAATGTGCACCTTTCATGTTGCTTGAATCGGTCTGTAGAGAGACGGAGACATGCAGAGAGAAAATGAGTGTTTGACACAGAATGAATAACCCAAGTTTCATTTGTCTTCCTCATGACAGTGGAAGGATTACCGAGAACTAATTGGACAGATTAACTCGGATTTAGCTGCATCTCCTGTCAACCTTTCCTGTTCCCCCCCTCCCTGTTTTCTTACTTCTCTGTTTTTCTTAAAGCTTCTTTTACCGTTTTATGTCTTTATTTTTTTTTAAACTGTTTTTCTTGGCTCTTCCTAATGCTTAATGTTGAGAGACAGGTTTTATTTCTCGCCCTTAGCGTAGTTCCTTTTCATTTAGTTTCATTTGTTTTCCTTTTGTTTGCCGTTCCTTAATTCCAACCTCTGGATTCTGCTGATATGAAGCCTGTCGTCCTCTTTGTTATTGTTGGTGTTTATTGGTATTGTTGTTGTTTTCAAAGCTTCCATCTGTGGAGAACAAAGCCTTTTAGTTCTGACATGAATCCAGCCGCTTGTCTGTCTACCGAAAGGAGGGGAGAAGGAACAAGGCAGCCTCTGTGGTTTACTGTTGGACCTGGTCCTGCTTCACTCTGGCCGTGATCCAAACTAGTTATCGTCCCTCTCCCCATTCCTCCTCTCGGCCTCTCTCATCTTTTTCTCTCTCTTTTACTCTCCCTTTATCAGTCCCTCCCTCCCTGCAGCCTCTTGTTTCATGTTTCCACGCTTTACTTTGGTTCCTCTCTACACATTTTCAATGCTCCTCTCTTTGCCCTCTTGTCTTTTCTTTCTTTCTTCTTTTCTTTCTTTCTTTCTTTCTTTCTTTTCTACTTCTACATTTCCATTGCTCCTCGTTGTCTCTCCTACCTTGCGCTCTTTTCTCTTTCACTAGCTAGTAAGTAAATAGAGATAAGCAGCAATTCATTATGGGTCAGTGACGGAGAAATTTTGTTTTCAAAGCAGGTGGACCTATGCCTGTGTGTTATGTGTGTGTGTGTGTGTGTGTGTGTTTGTGTAGGTGGGTGCATGCATGTGTGTGTGTTTAAAAGGCATCCAGTCATATATTATGTTTTAATTCCTCGTTGAAGACCTTCTCAATCTGAGGCAGTGTTAGCATCAAGAGACCCTCAAATCAATACAATTTATTACACTGCCTTAACTGTGCTTGTGTGTGTGTGTGCGTGTGTGTGTTCCTGTGTAATAGCCAGGTTTATGGCGAGGATCACAAGTATTGATTTGAACATGGAGAGAGACGGGAGGAAGGGACCAAGACAAGTGAGGAAGGGACAGATAGAGAGGGAGAGACAGGAAAAGCAATAGGTCTTCCTCTCGCCCTGTTTAAATGTCAACCATCCAATAACAGGTTGAAGCGAAAATGAAAAGCTCTGACCCCCTCCCCCGCTATTAATACACACATACACACAGTTTAGCAATAATATTTGGTCAGCAGACAATTACCTGCCCAGGCATCTTCACAACCCAACCTTCATTCGTCTCTGTCTTTTTTTTTTCATCTTCTCTTTATTAGAGAGCTATTTACATCTAAATGACAAAGCAAAGCTGAACATGTTTGTATTTACAGCTGAGTGTGTGTGTGTGTGTGGGAGTGTGTACAAAAGTTGTGTTTGCCCTTGACGAGGCATCATTATTATGGGAAGTTTTATTGAGAAACACACAAACAGGTACCTATACATGCTCTTCCTAGATTTAATCTCGATTCTGTCACAACCTGAAGCGAATGTGTGTGTGTATTTGGGTAATAACCGAGTGTGTGTGTGTGTGTGTGTGTGTGTGCGTGTGTGAGTGAGTGACAGGCAGATAATGGGTTGTCAGGAGAAGCGACAAGTTTGTGTCCTTGTGTTGTCTCCTCTGAGGGAGGAAGACCCAGAGGAAGAAAAAAAAAACAGAGCAATGCAGGAAGAGTTTGGAGAGAGACTAGCATCTCTATTTAAGGTGAGCTGTTTTTATTAAAAAAACGCCTGGACAGACATAAGGAGGCGGGCGAGTTACAGCGAGGCAGTGATAGAAAAGGAAGGAACAACAACAGATGATGGAGTCCCGATCACAATGGTCGACGACGGTTCATGTCAAGGAACAACAAACAAAACTTTAAATCAAATTTATCCTGGTTGCTGAGTGACCGATTCGTCTTTCCTCTGCAGCTAATCTATAAGATCAAAATCAGCTTTCTGTAAGACTTTTTTGTTTTGTAGTGGCTGCATGAAGCCTACTCTGATAATGACTTATTGTGCGCTCAGCTGTGAAATACATGAAATAGTCTAAAGCATTTTAAACTGTCCTCATATTGTCTTTACTACAGTGTTAGAAGGTAGTTAAGTATATTCATTAAGTACAAAACAAACATACATGTAGAAATAGGCTTAACTTACCCCATTAGTGTGGGCAATGACATCATGTTGTGGTCTGTCCTCTCACAGTGAGCGGCCTGTTGTGCCTGTTTTGTTATCTCAGGGTAGAGAGACCTGAAAGTGGAGATCTCGAGAAAGAACAAGATATAAAATTGTCATCACAGGAAATTGCAGTATACCTTAGATACCTTTGTTTGTTTACTTCCATTGCGGTCCTATTTTAGTTTTTGTTTCTGTATTTTTTTCTGTTTGAATATTTAGTTCCACCATTTCTGCTCTCGTAAACGAGTACAACTTGAAGAAAAAGTAAAGACCAAAGCTTCAGTTCCTTTTTGAGAATATGTATGTCAGCTCTTACCTAGCTGCTAGCAATCTAAACACAAAGAATAAGATTAATAACTTGTGTTTTAGGCTTCAAGATCAAGTTGCAGCTCCTGTATGGACTGACTGCAGGGCTGATATCAACCTCTGTGACACCATGATACCTGTTTTAGCTAAAAAAAAAAAAAATAACGTTGTCACTCCTTTGTAGGAGTTTGTAGCCGCTACAGATTGTAAACACCTTCTAGAAAACAAATTTTCAGGTCGATGAAAAGCAGCTAGATGTGTAGTCCTTCATTAGATGATTCAGATTGAAGGTCGAAAAGCTGGTGTGGTTAATGTTTGCTGAAATTCCTGAGAAAGTAATGCCTGGAAGTGGACTGATAGAGCAGATAGTGTGTGTGTGTGTGTGTGTTGGTATCTGTGCTGTTGGGTGGGGTCTGGGGGGTTATTGATCCAGTTAAATGAGCCAGTTAAGGTAATTAAAGCTCTGTGCCGGAAGAGGAGAAGGTAGATTATATTGACTATTAGAGTCCTGAATACACATAAAAGATGGGAACCAGAGACATGCCTCGTAGGAGTTATTGCATTTGACTAATGGTTAAACGGCAATGAGGAGAAGAAATGAATGTTTTAAGCACCCTCTGGATTTGTCTTGTGAATAAATGTCTACTCAGCACTTTTGAGCTTTGTCTTGTATAAAGGGTTACTTAATATATTTTCACATTACTCTACAAGTCATCAAAGACAGATGATTATGTTCTTCTGAAGGTGTTGTTATCAGCACTGTATTATCACCATATAAGAGGAAGAAGTAGTCAGAAATCACCTCCTCATCATTTATGTTCTCCTCTGTTCCTCTGTAGAACCTATGCGGACTCCTAAGAGGCTGAAGATCGCAGAGACCAGGTCTCGTCTGATAGCCGTGGACTGGGAATCTCTGGGTTACAACATCACTCGCTGTCACACCTTTAACGTCACCATCTGCTACCATTACATGACTGCCAGCAACCGCAGCAAAGCAGACTGCTTGGACATGGACCCTAAAGGTAATACTCAAATGTCAAAGGTCTTAAATTGTTTTGGGGGTTTTGTCATGCTTTTTGATTGTTTATAACTCCTTAAATATTATGACAAAACAAAGGCTAGCTTACAACTGAACATCTGTAAGATGTAATGAATATATCATTATAAAGCAGTACTTAAGAACTAGCACCAAAGCATTGATAGAAAACTTGATACTCCTCTTTTGGATTGACGTTTCTCTTTTTTAAATAAATGTTATTAGCTCATTTAGCACACAGACGGTTAGCTGATTCATGGCTTACTTGATTAACAGTCTGAGAAACTGCATTAAATTACTTTTATTTTTTCAGCTCCTCGTCACCTGGTGGGAAACCTGCCGCCGTACACCAACGTCAGTCTGAAGATGATTCTGACCAACCCAGAGGGACGGAAAGAAAGTGACGAGACCGTCATACAAACTGATGAAGATGGTATGACACAGTGCATCATTCATTGTTTGTTTGTGTGTTAGCTTCACAGTGAGGGTGGTTGTCATCAGTTAATGGTTGTAGGGCGCAGGTTTAGCTTACTTGGTAGAGCAGATGCCCCATAAGACAACCGTCCTCGTCACACCGGGGGGGTTCAACTCCCGATCCTGATGCTTTTTGGTGCATGTTATCTACCTCTCTCTCTCTCCCCACATTTCCTGTCTGTCAGGAAAGCTGACAATCCAAATTAAGGGGGGAAAAACAAAAGGTGTCTTAGAAAAAAAGTACATTGTTCTTATGCAGCTATGCTCATGTGTAGAGCATAATTATAGATATTTTGATAATATAGGTGTAACTTTTGCAAAAGAGAACAAAGTATGAATTTAAAATGATGTGGTTAACAACACGGTATTTCACTTTCTGTCTTGTTTCTTATATTTCTGTAAAACAGTAGATCATTCAGAAAGCTCCTGAGCTTTAACTTTCATGTACGGCTTTAACAGAGATGAGGAAGGTGTCTGCTTCTTTTATCAAACGACAACATTTTCTGTAGATCTATAAACATTTTGTGTGTGTGTTTTCAGTTCCAGGCCATGTTCCCAGTCAGTCACTACGAGCCACTCCGTTTGAAGACAGAATCCTTCTTTACTGGAAGGAACCAACTGAACCAAACGGGATCATCATCCAGTATGAGGTACTCTTAGAAGAAGAAGTAGGCAGAGTAATTATCGAGAAACTAAAGTATGTAACCTGGATAAGAAAAAAAGTAGGTGTATAAACTGGAGTTCTTTCTGTTTCCCCCTCCTCAGATCAGCTACAGTGGTCTGCGTTCATATGACCCTTCGGTGCCTCTCCAGCGGCCGGGCCTTACCGCGTCTCTGCCCTCGAATGCCACCCATCATCTGTTTTCCATGCTCTACCCGGGCGTCACCTACCAGCTCTCTATACGTGCATCCACCTCTAAAGGGTTTGGACCGGCAACAACGCTCAACGTGACCACTAATATTTCAGGTAGAAAATAAGTTACATGATTCTTTATTTTCTTCAGTACAACATTTGAATGGCTTGAAAGTTGATCATTGGACACTAACACACTTCTTTTTTTCTTCTTCAGCCCCGACAATAGATGAGTATGATGGGTCAGAGGCCTTCCTGAATGAAACTGCAACAACCATCACTGTCCTCCTAAAACCTGCCCAGGCCAAGGGAGCTCCTATAAGGTACTGTCTGCATAAAATGAATAGAATAATCCTTTATAATTATTGATCTTGTGTGAATTTTAAATAATATTGAACGTTATCATTTAAATCACCTTTCTCAGGTCCCAGTCTCCTACCACAGTGCATCTATTGGTGGATCTCCATATTATTATGCCGCCCAGCTGTCCCCCAGCAGCCTGCTTGAGCCGTCCCCCTTCACTGTGGGAGACAACAAGACATATGAGGCAAGCCTTTTCACCTGAGCAAAATGTTCTGGACGTAGTGCAGCAAGAAATAAAAACAAAGATTAAATAGAAATCATAGCAAACTTACTAAAAGCACAGAGGTGTTCACTAACAGGAGAAGAAAAGGTAGCAGACAGGGTCAGGGGGAAATACAGTTTTAGTTTAGTAAGCTAAGGTTGTTTTTATTATACTATTTAATACAAGGTGTTTTTTTTTTCTTAATCAAGGTTAAACTCAAAGCCAAATATACCAGAGAGCTCACCGATGTGCAGCTACGTTTATTTTAAATGAGGACGTTTGTCTACATCCAAATTGGCCGATCATTCTTGTGTTGTACGCTTGCCACAGATGTTCTTAATGCAACCAAAGGCAGTAATACATGAGAAAAAAGTGTAAATGTATACATACCTTCACAAAAGCTGCTGGTTCCTTGAAATACACACACACACACACACACACACACACACACACACACACACGCAAACCTTTTTTTTATGAACATGTCAGATCTTTATTGTATGGAAATTATTAAAGGAGTAGCTCAACACTGGGGATTTCACTTCATGGAAGAGGCATTTACATATGGAATTTGTATGTAGTTAATTTGTGAGCTTAGGGGCTGTTGTCTGTTAGTTTTGAACACATTTTACTCTGTTTAGTAAGTTAGCCTACAGCTGGTTTTATGATTTTTAGTGTATGAGAGTGATGTCAGTTGTCTCATCTAACTTTTGCCATAAAGCAAATAAACACATTTCTTCATTTGTTCAAAGAGATTTAGGTTATCCTGTTTATTAACATACAACATTTTTTTTGAGTAGATGTAACTTGGATGTAAGTGAAATCAGCAGCCTTCATCATACATATATTTAGCCTGACATAATGTGTAGCTTACTTTCTTTTTCCCCCTCAGGTTTTCTGGAATCCTCCGCTGGCACCAAGAAAGAATTACAACATCTACCTACAAGCTGTTAGCAGCACAGAGAGGGTAAATAAATATGAATTCATGTGAATAAGCACTGAACACACAGGGCACCTGTAACTCTCACCTGCTAGCTTCAATCAGTAAATACAGTCTGTGTACACATTACAGATGGATATACTAGTTACTCTTAAATATCAACACAACACCTACTGCAATAAGTTATGACTCCTGAGAGTATGGGAGCCCAAACCAAACTCCAAACACTTCTAATAAGCACTACATTCAATAAGAACTGATTATGAGCCTCTTGTATTTTTCTTTATTCTGTAAATACATTTAAACTCTCTAGGTACGCTACAGTATGTGTTTGTACATGAAACTTAAATATCACTCTGTTTTTGTCTTCTCTTCAGGAAACTAAGACTCAGTGTCTGAGGCTGGCTACTAAAGGTAAGAATATGTTGATATCAATGTCAGAAATACCTCTGGATCAGTTTAATCGTTACACTCGGATCAAAATAACACATGAAAAACAACACTTTGTAATGTTGTATCTGGTGTGAGATGTGTATAATCTGTTGATCAGTTCCTTAGTGTCCCTCGATGGTTGTTGTGCTTTTCCAGCTCATCAGGTTTGTTTTGACTGATGCAGTATCACTTAGTGAACAATCTCTGTTTGAGTTCAACAGAGGGCAGACTTAGAGTGTTAGGAGACATATCATGTTTTGCATGTTAGAGAGAGAAAATGTATTCATGTTTTTCACAAGCAGCCATATGTTGATAGATTATCAGAATGGCTTTAAATGGTGTGGAGTTAATCCCTGAGGAACCATACACAAATACACATAAGCATACACACACAATGTTTTGAGGAAAGATTTGTCGAAATGTGGCCGATGGATCAGAGTTGAGCTCTGTGGAGTAAGAACAAGGATAAACAGAGACATGTATTACTGTGTTTTCAATGAAATTGACAATCCTGGTGGTCGGTCAGGCTGAGCTTCAAAGAACAGTGAGGACATTTAAGTTTTCATTTGGCTTTTTACTCGGAGCTAGAAGACAAAACAGTGTGAAATCATACAGATGAAAGAAAAACCTCAAAGGTATTCTGCTTCATTTCTACCTTGTCCTTGATTTCCTTGTATTTTTAAAATACTTAAAAAATATTTTTAATATCCCTTAAACCTCTGTTTGTATTAATTTCTATATTTATGTTCTGCTAATATCAGAAAACATTCAGTATTCAGAAATATTCAAATGTATTATTCATACATATACATTTACTTTGTTATATCCAATTATGCGACTGTAAAACTCGAAAGACATTCAATGTAGGAAAAACACAGATCAAATTGTCACATTTAAAGTGCTGAAACCAATCAGAATGTGTATTTTTGGAAAACTGACTAATCAATATATTGAAAAATATTGTCAGCTCTTTTGCTAAACTTCTAGATGCAAGTTCACATATAATGTAAAGTAAACTTTACCACTAATACATATGTGTCCCTAGTCTGTCTATAAACCCCTCTAGTACGAGAAAAGTCCATCCTCTCCATCTTTTACCTGCTCCACTTTTCAGAAAATGTGTGCTCAAACAGGCTGTTTTCCCTTTGTGACATCACAAAATGCAGTAACCCCTCTCCCAGGTGGGTGGCACTCCCACAGCTAGGTGTTTGTTCTGCCCTCTGAATCTGCCTTCTCACTGTAAATAATAGGGCGAGAAAGACCGAGCCACATCCCCATCCAGAGGGGCGTGGTCAGACTCAGCTTATTTACATTTAAAGCTACAGACACAGAAACAGCCTGTTCTGAGCAGGGCTGAAATAGAGGGGTTTATAGGCATGATCAAATACAGGATCCGAGTGGTTTTAGAACAAGAAACTTCACACACGTTTGAGGAGCTCTGAGAGTTATTTAAACTTGTTGAAAAGGAGGATAATATGTGACCTTTAAAGCTTTTTGAAAAAGATGATATGCAAAAACTAAAATCTAATAAAAACAACCTCAGATATGGTTAATTCTCTTTGTGTAGACAAACATCTACAGTTATAGACAATGTGAGATAAAAACCTCTAAAAAAACTTCTATAGAGGATTGATGGTATATTTACAGAACATGGAGTATGCTGTAATCACTCTCTGCACTCAAATGTTGGTCCTTGCTTTGACCTTCCTAGTTAAAATGATCATAAAACTAGATAATAAAAGTGACAAATGTAATCACTTTCAGCCATAGTTACTGCAGAATTAAGCATTATGACTGTATCCTCGTAAAGATCCATGTAGGATCTATAAACTAGCTCAGGTGATAAAATCTGCAGTATGTAGATATGTTCCCTAAAACAGAACAGTAAATAAGTTCAAGTAGAAGAAAGCACACTTTTAGAGTTTAAATTGAGTTCTTTATAGTTAACGTAAAAGTGTGCGGCCTCAGAAACCAAAGCCTGTTTTCTCTGTAGGTCACAGGGTTCATTGTGACCACAGCATGTTACCTGGTGGGCTCACAGGTAATAGATCCCATGGGAGAGATCAAAGATGTGGTAAAGTCCCTGCAGTGCCTGTGAGGTGTCATGTTTCCACTGAAAAATAAGAGGAAATGTGGCCAGTTTCTGTGTTTCCAGTGTCATCAGATTTCAAGAAATGCTGGTGCTTGTAGTAAGTAGAACAGGTGGTAACTTTGCTAAAGGCTGCTGTAAAGAGATGACGCTCTGCCTTCCTAAGTAAAGCTGAAAGACATTCTTTAGGTTCTCTCTTTTTTTTTTTTAATAAGGCAGAAAGACGCACTAATGGACAGAGAGGTCAGACGACTCTGCCGCATCTCTGTTTCGCTCTGTCTCTCTGCATGTGTGTGTGCACTCAGCCGTGCATCCGGGAGGGAGGATTAAGTGATGGTGGTCCTATTAGGTCATCTGGGGTATTGTGTATTGTCATTGCTGCCTCAGGGTGTTTTTTTGTGTGTGTGTGTGTGTGTGTGTTTGTGCCCTCGTGGGTAAGTTGTGAGTGAACTGACCTGGATAATTTTTACAGACATTAAGAGGTACCGCTGACATTATGAGGTCAGCGGCGAAGCTTTTAAAGATTTTTCTTTTCTTTTTAATGTCCTGTTTTGATAACCTTTGCCCATCGATCATGGTCTGATTATCATGGACAAAAAAAGGACGTGAAACCACTAAGTGAGGAGTTGATTTGTTCCATCAAGAAAAATAACGAGGACATTTTCATAAAATCACAAATGCAGAAACATTTGAAGGCTTGGATTAACTAACAATTCCTGGCTACTTTAGTTAGTATTATTCTGTACAATGTTAAAGTTTCGACCTATACCAGCATAAGGACTGAAACCCAAGATTGGACTTTTGACTCTGAAACCAACATCAATAATGATTTACACAAAGTAATAACATAAACATTTTTTTTTTGGCTTAGTCATTTTATAAATCTTTTTTGTTTTAAAAACTGTAACAAAGATATGCTGAGCTGGAATCTTACCAGTTAAAGATACATTTTATTTACTTTCTGATTTTCTAAAAAGTCACAGTTATGATGCTCTTGACGTGCTGTAGTCCTCAAACATTTTGTGGCCTATTTTGCCACAATTTTCTTCCAAACATAAGACGATTATATATGCATATTTGGTGACATATCTGTTTACCTCATTGAGTAGCATTAGGACAAATAATGGGTTGCTATAATGAGTTTCATGACATTCATGGTAAGGTTCTGCTTTGGCTTTAATTCATTTTACATCACTTCTGCAGAAACCTCTAGAAATGTCGCCTTACTTTTACACTGGGTGATGTGCTGCTTTATAACCATGAACCCAGCTAGTTTATCAGAAGTCTATCCCATCCATTGGTGCTACCCTATTGGTGTTGATATCTCTGTACCACATGTGTTTTAGTCTGCTGCTGAAAATGGTCTCAGAGAAAACTCAATAAACACTCCTTATCAAGTGATTTTATCTGAAAACTACAGGGCTTCTGTAGAAGAATATTATTCAGCCTTTCATTACAATAAAAGCATTTATAATATGCGTTGTGTGTTTTAATAGAAATGTCACTGTAGATCTGAGGTTTGACAGGGAAACGGAAGGAGGCAGAGCTGAATCCTTTACTGTTCTATTATTACATAATGACATTTGGGCAGATGGAGGCATTTGATAGATTTCAGCAGCAAGAGAACATTTTATAAAAAAATAATACATTTAGGTCGCAAATATTGAGGGGGATAAAAAAACAGAGAGGGAGATTATGTTGATCTTGTTGATATTCAGCTTTAGAAGTAGATTATTGTTTGAGAGATGTATTGCATTTTATTGAGTTTTGTGCATATGCCTTTGTGTTGGATTATTTGGATTATCATAATGCACGATAATGTTCTTACATGGCAGGAGGAACTATTCTGGTGTTACGGGATCGGATCACTAAGCTTAGGAGCATAAAACCAGATGCTTGTTCTCTTTTTTCTGTTGACTTTGTGTCCATGATCAACAGGGTGGAGTCTCCACTACGGTGCGAACTCTGCATCTAACATTTCTCAATCATATTACAAAAACAAGACAAAATCAGGGAGTAAACACAATCCTCTGAAGTCATCAGGAAAATAAATGAGTCTGAGTGCCAGTAATATACAGTGATGTGGGGCAGAAACATCGCAAGGCTTCAGCAGAATTTCATTTCATAAGTGTTTCCTGGTGAGAGCTAAGGCCAACCTGATATACTCAAAGACGCTGTCAATGGACGGTCTCTTTATTTCTATAGATTTTGTTAATGTCTGTTTATTTTCATGTTGTCTTCAGTGTTGTTGCAGCTGGGAGTAGAAGTAGTAGGAGCAGTGAGTGTGGGTAGACTTCACTGTTTCACTACATTTAATATCAGGTGATTGAACATCATGAATGAGAAGCTGAATGGGAAGATGACAGGGCAGTAATAAACATTGTTAGCTCCCCCTGATGCTCTATTTCAGCCTATCCTCATGATTAAATTTGTACTGCATTGTAAGTTAATATAAAGAAAGACCTAAATAAATTGATTTCTTCTCATGTGTTTTTAAATATGTTAGCGTAACAGCTACAGGGCTAGCAGTGTCAGTCACTTGGTCACCTACTTTGGCTACAGGCGGGATGTCCATTAGTGTTGTACAATTACTAATTTTTCCCAGAGGCTTAATAACTCTTGGGACTGTGCTTCCCTGGACTCTTTACTCAGCAGCATCAGTTGGTCAAAGTATGAACTTCTCCTATAAAATACCTAAACAGCTATTCTTTATGGTTTTGCATAAAACCTGGTTAAGTTCATGCCCCTTTCAGGATTCATTTTATTTTTGGTGGTCACCTCTCCAGCTACCAGGCCAATTTCTGGACTTGGTCCGTGCCGGGACTTGAACCAGCGACCCTCCAATTCCCAACCCAAGTCCCTACAGACTGAGCTACTGCTGCCCCACCTAAAGTTTGAGAGTGTAATTGTTAAGTAATCTCTTTGATCTGTTTCTAAAGATATACCTGCTTTATGCCAAAATGTCTTCCATGAAAAGAGGTTAATGTTCAGATATATGAGCTGTTCACCAGAAGAGACTTGTGCGTGGGTTTGAGGAATATCTTTTGTTTAATTCTGAACAGGAATCGTATCGTATGAGGTTTGTGCTGTTAATCTTGATATTTAAATCAGTGAGCGAATTAAGCTTCTTAAACAAAACCTTGTGCTAAATGTACACCTTGAATGACAGTTTCCATGACATTTGTGTAGGCAGGTTTCTGTCTTTGCTTCACGAGATATTTAGAGTCTTGATATTTACCTGCTCTTAAACAGCTAATCAGGGTTTGTTTTCTTATCGCAGTCACCACTTTACCTGATGTGAGGGCATTTTGTAAAGACGTCTTCAGTAAAAGTAAACATGATTCCCGAGGCTGTTGGGTGGCATACTTTGACAGCCTTGGGTGACACAAGGTTGCATAAATATGTCCAAATGGTGCCAAGAGTTCCTGTATAACAGGCTTAAAGTCTGTCAGTGCATGGGAGCAACATTTTCAGAAATGCTCAGTGAAGGTTTACACCCCAGAAGTTTTAGGATTCCTGGAAAGCTTTAAGGACAGATAGGGTTTGTTTGGTTGACTAGTCTGACAAGGTAGTTAGGTTGGCAAGACACATTATCACTTCTTAACTTGACTTTGTCCAAGTCCATGTAGCTCTTAAACAAAATAACCAGCAATAGTCAGATATGATAAAATATAATACATATGAAGAGCTTGAGTGTTTTTATTTGATTTCTGTCTCGCAGTAGATGTGTTTAAAGTTAGAAAACCAGCCAGACGTGTACATGTTATTCACTTGTATTCCCACATTGGCTGGCAGCTTTGAGAAAAGGCAGACAGCTTTTCAACAGACAAGGCCATAAAAATAATTGTCCAATATCACCAATCAACCTCAAGCCCACCATGCTTTTATTATTTTATTGAGTGATGTCTCAGAGGTGTTTGTGTGCGGAGGGAAGTTTGTCTTTTACCTCTGCTGTCCAGTAATCATCAATCCAAGAGTTAACTCAGGAGACCCATTTCTTCAGCATTGATGTTACTATTTTTTACGTCTTGTTCCTTTATTATAAAGTCTTGCTTGTTTTACATCATTACATGAGACAAGATAGCCTTTGATTTAATAATCAGGTGCATGGGAAGGCTATTTTTGGTGATGATTTCACTTAGAATCGTCGAAGTACCTCAAAAATGTACCACAGTGGATAGAAAAATAATATTTTCTTGGGATATTTAACACCTTTAATCCTACACTAAAGCTGGTTTTGTTCTAGTAGTTAAAAAAGGAGTTATAAATGTTCATGCGGCAGTATTGATGTGTGTTGTCTTGTCATTCTGTTTTAGGTGCGACAGAGGAGCCAGAGGTCATCCCTGACCCCGCCAAACAGACTGATCGCGTGGTGAAAATAGCCGGGATCAGCGCTGGAGTCCTCGTCTTTATACTGCTGGTGCTGGTAGCCATCCTATTGGTCAAGAAGAGGTGAGTGACACACCCTTAAACACGCCCGCTGACAAGGCTTTGAAGAGGAGTTTGATGATAAGTCCTAAGTCAACATGAACACCAGTGCTGCACCAGCAGGCATGCAGATGGAGAGAGTCACAGAGAAACAAATGTGCGCCTAAACTCATTCTCTTCTTGTGTGTTTGGTCCAGTATTCGCTGTAGTAACACCATCCTCCATCCATCCACCATAAACGTTGATCTCCCTTCAGAACCAGCTCGATCACTTCCTGAAGCTTGTTCTTTTTTTAAGGCAATAAATAGCTGACGGCTTGTTGTCCTGAGATTAATCCAAAATTAGAAACTGCTGCCTCTCAGATGTGTGATTTACTCTGACAAAGATCTGAGGCTTTTTTTTTTTATCCTAGTACAGTACACTGACTGAGACAAACCAGAAACAACAACAATCAGCTGAGAGTAAGAAAGAGAAAAAGATCCCCAAGGGGAAGATGTCAAGTAACCTTCAACAACTGAATTAAGACTCCAAAACATAAAGATTACATAAACACATCAAAGACATAAATATCTTTAAGAAATGCTGGGATGTTGTATTTTTGGGGTAAAGGAAAAATACATTGGAGATATGCATGTGAAAGCTGTAACCTGGAAGAAGCCAAGGACATTTCTACTGAACATAAAAGAAGAATGTATTTCAGATTGAGGGAAAATGATAAATGTTGGTGTGAGGGTTAAACAACCGGAGTACAAACATCGCCCCCTGCACTTTGTTTCAGCTCACTTTCATGTGATACACTAGATTACACAACCTAAAAGGAGGTTTGGAGCAGGTCCGATTGAGGAGCTTTTTTATTTTAAGAAAAATAAAAAACAGAAAATTAGAGCACGATACTGAAATAATCTAACTTGCAGAATCATTGCGTCTCTTCATCAGATAACTCATTCAGCACTGAGAAGAGTCAGCTCCTGTGTCACTTTATCGTTTCAGCCTATGATGTGTTAGTTTGGTGCAGGGCTCCATCATGTGGTGGCTGAGCATAACTACGGCATGTAGTTCTGAACAGCAGCTTAATTTTCTATACTCTGTAACTGTTTTTAAACAGCAGTAATCAAACAACTGTTATTAATGTTTCATAGTCTTTAAAAACCTGGTAGTCATGTGCTATTGTCCTTTTTCTGTGGTTAATGAGCAAGCATCAAAGTTTGTCTTGCCTTTTCACAAGACATCAAATCAAAGTGCTTGAATGAGGGATTGTCTTATTCTATGAAATACGAACATCACCAGACACTGAAAGAGAAAAGAAAATCACAGTATTGTTATTTTGACAGTATTTTGGTCATATTGTTATTTATGACCACTGTAAGGCAGTTAACAGAGGTTATTTAAGTTGTTATATATTATTTCAAAATCTAGAAACCTTTTTCTGCTTTAAATGAATCCCACGTTTTAGAGCTGGCTCAGTGTCCAGTCTCTTCAGATCCGACTCAACCTGTATCTGTAAGGTTACATGAGGTTGAGTTCTCTCTTCCTACCTTAGGGGCATGTGTGTGCACACGTGTGCATGCATATTTTAAAGACTTGTAAGGAAGTGTACGAGTGTAATAATTAACTATTACTAAATATGTCATTCCTCTAGTGACCTTTCAATTAAAACTTGGTGTTCAGGGAACATGAGTGGCTCATTAAAAAGAGAATAATTATAAACTGAATTTGCATATTCAGGAGGGTTACATTTATGTGAAGTGCCTCATATCACATACCAACTCCTGCCATGTACCTTAAACCATTAAAACATTTAAGATAGGCTGTAAGAAACTTAAGAAAATGTGTCTGAAAGGAGATGCTGTAGATTATCTCCTCTAGATACTGAAGTGTCGGATCTTGCCAGAGGCTTCAGAGAGCCAGAGTCTTTCATTTACAACCAATAATTCTCTCAGGCAGTCAAAAACGATTAGAGACATTAAATTACAATCAGCCATGAACCCTCGTCAGTGAAGAACCTTTGCTCCTGACCTCCATTCAATTTGTAATGAATTCATGTGATCCAATTCATTCTGCAGATTTAGTGTCAAAGTAGAAAGATAACCAAAGAACCTGCTTGACACTGCTTGATCCCTAGTTTGTGTTCACTTTTTGCAATATGAGCATGTGTTGCTCTTTTTGGACCGTATTTGACTTAACAGAGTCTGTCTTTCAAAGACTGTTGGCCATACATCTGCGGGGGTAACTGTTGTGTTGGATTCTTACATTTTTTTGCACAGCCTTGATGAATATAATGCTGTGTAGTTTGTTGTTTTTGAACTGTAAGCTTTAAAAGATCAATTAAAGTTAACTTAAGCATTAGAAGTGTCTAAAGTAGGACATCGTTCATGCTAATCATATTGTAAAATTATATTCTTCCAGTTTGACCAACAGAAAAAAAAGTTTGTATTTGATAAAAACATGATGGGTTTTTTTCCTGTGAAAATTTTGGTTTGATTTTTGGGAATATAAGAGACAGTCTCATGACCAACATCAGTCAAGTCATGATGCCAGTTTCTGGTTGAGAACATGTACATGAACATTTTTGCATGGGATAGAAAATAACTTTTGAGCCACTTAAAGTGTGAGTGCTAAAATCATTCTAGGTTAAACTTATAATGTATGTTTGTTTGAAACAATGACCTCAATAGATTCAGTAGTTTCCCACAAAGGTTTCTGGGGAGATCAATCTTCATTGTCATTGGACCTTTACGACTTTGAACGATACTGCATCTTTAAAATGGTGGGACATGATGACATCACAGTGACATCATGCTTGCTTTACAGGAAGCGAGCTGTGTGGTGTTACAAATCAGACAGCTCTGTATCAGGTTGACAGCTTAGCCTCTATAGGAATAGGTGATGGTGATTGGCTGATTCAGGTTTTAAATCTCCAATCAGATTTTAAAGTTACAGAAAAATCAGCATAAAAATATTGCATGAGTAAAAATGTAACACCCTTCGAAAGTAATAAAAAATAAAAAAAAGACTGCATGTTTATAGTTTAATATTGACACTTCCTGGTTTTTAAGTGATAGTTTTATAGGCTTGTTTTGTAGTATTTAGCGATACAAATTTTGAGAAATAGGGCCCATAGTTTTTACTACAACCCCTTGCATGACCGTTAAGTTGTAGCGTATAAAAGGTGTTTTTATTTCTGTTTCTGTTGTTGCTGGTTGGGACAGGACAGTATTGTCCTAATTTGCATATTCATGACCCTTGTGTCTCATTCTTTGCTTTCTGATTGGCTCACAACCCCAGGAGGACCTACTATTCATACTCTTATTACCTGTAAGTAAACGAACCAATCAACAATCAGCTCACCCAGCTGCTGTTATCTTATTGGGCGACCTATTATAGTAATTATTATTACTCTTAGTGGCTTAGATGTTGTTATTTTTAAAGATGCAGTATACTTTTTTCAAGACAAAACACATTTTCAGCTCTGACCAACCAGCCAAAGCCATCCTCATTGACGCCACACCAGGGTGGGGGTCAGTTCACTGTCATGTCAGTCAGGTCACGACTTTTTGAATTCTTTTGACTTTATTTGTATCAACAGATTTAAATCCTCATGAGAATGTTTTTTCAGCAACAGAAGTTTGACGCTTTCCTGTCTTTTAAAATAACAAGAAAAATAAACAAATGCTGAATAATTGGTAAAATTTAGTGTCAGCTTCCATCAACGGGACTGAACTGACCGTGAATTGACCTCAGCCCTGCTGTCCTCTACATGCTCCAAAGTTGCTCTGAAGCAGGTCAAAGTTGGCCTTCAAACAAGATCAAAGCAGGCCAAAAGTGGGACGACACAGGCTTAAGCGTGTTATTTGAAAAAAGAATGCTGCACTTGTGACTTGTAGCTCTTTGTGTGCATGTAGTCATGTGATCATCCATCCGCCCATCAAGTCACAGGTATCACAGTAACGCTGCTGCACATGCTCGGTGTCGGTCGGCTCCCTGTTTGGAGCAGGTGGTTCTGTTTCTGCTAGTTTTTCTTGGTGGGTTTTTTTTTTCTGGTGATGTGGGAACGTCATGTCTTCTCTATGTCTCTTAGAAGCTCTCAATGGCTGTGACCATATATGGCTTCTGATGTAAATTTAAAAAAAAACACAGATTAAAGAATGGAATCAGGCATTTGTTATTCACCATCTCTGGCCTGTCAGATTAAGATTTAGGATCATTAATCGTGTAGTTTAGAATCCTATGAAATGGAGTCATGGGCTTAAAGTTGCACAGAGTGTTTTTTTCCATCCACTAAAGAAGCATAAACTCTGCATTCATGTGCTCCTCAGACCGTTTCCCAGTCTCATGTTGGGACGTTTTTCCCCTTCTTCACGGCCAAACGAAGCTTTAAGTCATTAATTGAAAACTGAGTTTTTCATTATTTCTTTGAAGGAATCAACATTGTGAGAAGCATGTTGTTTAGTAGACTTTTTGTGAACACATATTGCACTTAAAATCAATTCTGAATTAGAGACATTAAAAATGTAACAAGAAAACAAACAGCAATGTACTGTAAATCTGGTCACAGCTACCACTCCTCCTCCTCTTTGTTTCTCCCTCAGCCTCTCTTATTTACTGTATAAGTGCTTCATAAGTCCTATCTTAATTTTTTCTATCAGACGACAAATAAAACCCTCACAAAAAAATCCACACAAACAGCTCCAGTTTGTCTTGAGTTATATCAATGTTGCTACTGAGTGTGAGTGTGTGCGTGTATCGTGTGTGTGTGTGTGTGTGTGTGTGTGTGTGTGTGTGTGTGGGTGTGGTCTTGGAGGTGGACTTGGTGTATTTTGGGGGTGAAGAGGTAAAATATACAATAAAAGCATGCTGTCTGTCTGTTCACCGGGAGAGTCAGAGCCGTACGTTGTATCAGTTAGGCAACAATCAGAATTCAACTTAACAGGCAATTTTTTTTAATTAACATTCAAGTTGTAGCTCAAACTTGAAAACAAGTGAAGGGCTAATTCAAACTCAAAGAAATGCCTGTTGACGTGTGCAATTGTTGTCCTAACAGATTTACATCTATGGCTCTGGGTACAAAATGTTCCTGCATGCTCTGTCATGCTACTGAGCACTGAGCCCTGTGCTGTTATTTTTCCTGGGATTATAGGGATTCAGAATTAAACCCTCTAGGAGAGATACCTGTGTGTTTTCATTTTAAACTGTTATTTTTCTTCACACGGCACCAGCTCTTAAGAGAACGAAGGGTTTTTTCCACCTTCAATACAATACCATTCCACCATTTACCAGCAGTCTGTGAAGAAAAATAGTCCAGAGAATGGTGCAATGTTTACAGATACCTGATTTTCTATATAATCTCCTGACTTTTTATTATATGACCTCGAGTCCTATTACTCATATGTTGGTAACTGTGGTGTTTTGGACTGAAAATGGTTTCCCCCTGAGCTTCTATAGATCATAAGTCACTCCCTGGCTGTTGTTTTAATGGGATTTTTTCCATCTTTGCTGTTAGATGAAAACCAAATATTTAATCCTCCATTTTTGAGTTAATCAAACTATTGTTTCTAAAAAGGCTTTCATCTGACAGCTCATCTATGGTTCTGAAGATTGAAGCTCTGTTTTTCCTTGCTAGGTGTGTAGGTCTTAGGTCATTTTCCCTGCTCTGTATTAGACACTTTTTTTTCCCTCTGCGCCTTCAGCTGAGTCTGATACATGCTGCCATTTGAAAACAAGCCTTTCCTCTTCCTCCCCTTTGCCTGTTCTTGCCTCTCTTCCTCTTTCTTCTTCCTTCTTGGTTTTAAATTCTGCATCGTGAATCAGCAGCCTGCAGCCCCCCGGCCTGGTAAAAATAATAATAAAAACAAGTATAATACCACCTACAGTACTTCCAACAAAATGCTTAAGTTCTTAAATTTAAAAAAAAAAAATCAATTAATCACAAGGCTGTGGTCTGCAGGCTGGCTGATACTTGTGATGTTGTTATTTACAAGATGTCTGACTGTGTCCGTCTCTGCCCCTGACAGGAAACTGGCTAAAAAACGTAAAGACGCCATCGGAACGACACGACAGGAAATGACTCACATGGTGAACGCCATGGATCGCAGCTATGCTGACCAGAGCGCTCTGCATGGAGAGGACCCCATGGCTGTGACATTCATGGACTCTCACAACTACAACAACAGATGTAGGTTCATGAATGAGACTGTTCATATTACAACAAAGTGTTTATAGATCGACTAACTTGAAAAAATCATTTTTTTTCTCAATATTCTCAGTGGGAATCTAAAATTTTCTTCTATCTTCCTTTACTATAAACACATCTGAGTATTCATGTCTTTTTCTCTGCTATCCTCATTGAGAATTGATCTCACCTTCAAGGTCGTAATACACACTCCAGCCGGGTCACAGTTTAGTTAAGTCCATCAGTAGCTCCTTTGACCCTCTCTAATAGTGAAGATATGTCTTCAGGTGTTTTCCAATTAAAGTCCCAGACCCAAAAATATTCATCTTACAGAATACTTTCTGTTTGCTAGGCTTCAGCAAAGGTCTGATATTAAGATATAACGGACCTTACAATGTCGTAACTGGCCAATCAGAATTGAGGATCAACCAAAGCTGTTTAATCAGTTTAAGTAATGCTGAGATTTAGAAATATTTGCGTAGAACAGAATATAAAAAAATATGAAGTCTACTTCTTGCATGCAAAAGACAAGAAGTAGCGTTTGTGAATATCTGCCACAATTTAAAACACAAGGTAACAAAGTTACACAAGGTGCTATGTTTAAAACATCATACAACACGCTTAAACACAACATATACATGATTACACAAAGAGACACACTTGAGTCTCATTAAAGGAGGGCACAGGGTCTTAATGGTGACGGTGTTTCTTTCCACAGTACCCAACGATCCTCTGGTTCCTACTGCTGTGTTAGGTGAGACTTACAGCATGGATGGATGTTTCACATTTACCATCCTTTTCCTTTAGTGATCCCCCATCTTCATCCCAGAGCCCCTCCCCATCTTGTGCGTCTCTGTGCGTCGTGAAATAGGCCCCCAATGTTGTCTCCAAATGCTCATGTTTCCATATGACATCCTCCAGTGTCCGATGACCTGAATGTGTACTTTGGCTGGATTGAAGTTTTAGTACCAGCACGTTGTCTCCTTTTTAATCGCCAGAAGTTCTAGATGTGTTTGTGAAGGTTTCCGGGTAAAACAGTCAAGGACATACTCGCCGCAGAAAGTCGTGAAATAAAGTAAATGAAAGAGAGATAGAACAAAATGGATGTTTGGATTTGGTTCAAAGGTATCTAAAGATGTGTAATTTTTCCACATCTTCTTTTGCCAACTCTCTGTGTAAAACATGGCCGGTACAAAAAAAAACTCCAGCAGCCAAACACTTCATCTGTCGTACTGTGTTTTCCCAAGGTTCAATCACTCCTAATTCCAGCCACGCTTTCTGTTTCCTACTGAGACTTATTGATATTCACAGTAATTACCAACATTCTCCCTTAGAGACCTCATTATTTCCACAGTTTTGAGTTGTTTCAAGGCATGCCATTTACTGTCCAAAAACACAACAACAGAAGCTTGATACTTTAAAGGAGAGGGACTATTTGTCACGTCGCCACTAAATAAAATGGCTTCTGATTAAATCTGTGACATCAAGTGACGGCAAACAACTTGATGCTTGGAGTCCTGCGTGCGTCTGGATCCAGAAGTCTACTTGAGTATCTACCATCTGTGTTATTCCCTGGGCCACTCTGAACTGTGAAAAACCTTCGTTTTTGCCAACTTGGATCCAGCTCCAGCGTTGCACTGCAATGTGTTTATCTTTAGTTTTCGTGTTGACACTGCAGCATGATGTGGAGTTGTAACATACCCTGAAGGGCTCCGTGATCCACCACGCCACCAAACTGTGTTAATTAACCGTTCCACAGCCTCTAATTTGGAGCGAAGGCTGCAGTTACAATCTGTCTTGGCCAATCACATCACAGAGGGGGAAGAAGTAGCAGGAAGTAGCAAATTAAGAGGCAGTGTCGGGTTAAGTTTGCCGTTAATTGGCCTGACGAGAGCTTAACAAACCTTTAACAGTCAGTAATGAGCTAACATGTCCTCAGAGCAGAGAGGAGAATCAGTCGGATGAAATAAACAGTGTCAGTTAATAAACAGCGGTGAAGATGAAATCAGTCGCTTGTGCTGCGACCTCAAGCTTCTCCATTATACAACCTGTCAGTCTTTGCATTACTACTGCCCACTCACATTATCAACAACAGCACACAAATGTTCACCTGGGAGTTCTGAAACAAAATATGAGCCCGTTATTACCGTCCACTGAAACACTTATTCAATGTACAGGCTTAAGAAAATGCTAATAAATCATATGTTTTACTTATGAGTGATAAACATGCAGCCCTGTTTTAGTGCATATGTCATGTTAAAATATGAATAGAGTGAAGTCTAAGATGTGATTAAATCTCAACAGCATTGGAAATGAGGGAAACCTTAGTGTCCTTTCTGGAATAAATAAAGGTTTGAAATCAAAATGTCAATGGAGACTGAAATCAAAGTACAGACACAAAAGTTCATATATGGAGGAATAGAAACTTTCTGAGTAAGGTCCAGGTATCAGAAAAAATAAATCAGTCATCTTCTCTGATTTATTAGTTCTTACACTTTATACTTTTACTAAAGTTTTGATTTATTCTCACAACTTTAACTTTATTCCTTAAATGCAAAATAAAAAAATAAAAGGAAATCTGTCATCTCAGATAACTCCTCCTCCTTCACCACTTCTACTCTGTACTCGTATACTTCCTCACCTTCAAATGTTTTAATTTGTTTTAATATAATCTCGGTTCTTGTGAGACCTTTAGAAAGTTTTTTTTAACAACAACTGATGTAGTCATGAGTATTAGTAGATTGAACCACTAGAGGGCGTTGCAGTAGACGTTACTTTGAACTCCTGCTTTTAAGTGCGTTTTATGTTGTGGTAGGTGTTTTAGTGAGTCGGCGCTCTACACATTTGTTCTTTGTTTCTTCTCATTGTTGGCCATGCCCCATCGTATTGTGAGATCATCCATCATGTATAAACAATTTAAAGTCCCTTTGTAATTGGATCACAGTTTGTGTTTAGAGTCTTATTAACAAATCCTCCTTTGCTGCAATTCTTCAAAACCCATGTTTTTCTCTTTTCTTCTTCTGCTGCTTTGACATGTAGTTCCAATTACAGGTAAGTTTACAGCGAGTAAATGAAGCGTTTGATGCTTTGTTTAGTTTGAGGAAAATGAGTGTTTTCGTATGGTAATTGCTCAAATCCATCATGTTTTTGGGTTCACTTCTTTTGCGTTTATAAAGATAAAAGTTATTTGTTTTATTTCCCTTGATGTCAGTAATCAGGGGGTGCACATGATTGTATCCTGCCTACATTGCCTCACAAAGCCTTTGAAATCCTTCTAGTGCATAAATCATTCCTCAGACCTGATAAGAAAAACAGGTTTTGTTTTAATTGTTCTTAACACGGGACCATACAAATCACCGCTTTAGTGCCTTTAGTGAAGACACTGATAAATCCATGCACATTATTTAATGTACAAATGATCTGACCACTGTTATCCTCTCTCTCTCTCTCTCTCTCTCTCCTGACAGATGAGAACCACAGTGCCTCTGCAGCAGAGAACAGCCGGCTCCTGGACGTTCCTCGCTATCACTGTGAAGGAACTGAATCTCCGTATCAGACAGGACAGCTGCACCCGGCCATCAGAGTGGCTGACCTTCTGCAGCACATCAACCTCATGAAAACATCTGACAGCTATGGCTTTAAGGAGGAGTACGAAGTAAGATTATTAATAGCAGCATCATTTGTACTAGCACTGGTAGCAAAATGTTTAATATTTGTAGCCATGTCAAAAATATTTATCATGCAATTTCTAAAAGTTTAAATTGCTGTTCATTAAGTTATCTAAAACTGTATTGTGCACACTTCTTTAATGTAGAAAACAAAAAAGAAATCTATTATGAAAATCAATAATGCTCTGTTTGTTGTTTTGGCTTGACATAAAAATGATTTAATCCCCTCTTCATTTGAGTGTATTTTCTGCCTTATTGACGTAACAGTCGAGGAGATACAAACTTTCTTCACAACACATATTTTGTGTATTGAATAAGCGGGCAAAAGTATTACTCAAGTACTTCTTTCTGCTCAGAGCTATTCAGTGTGTTACTTTTCACTGTGAGTCCATGAAATGTAATTTTCTTGCCCATTGTTTCGTCTGTTGTTGGTGATACAGAGCTTCTTCGAGGGCCAGTCGGCCTCCTGGGACGTTGCCAAGAAAGATCAGAACCGCACCAAGAACCGCTATGGGAACATTATAGCATGTAAGCAAACATTTCATTTTTTTTTACAACAAAGTTACAGTGTGTTTAGTAAGAGAAAGAAAAAGGAGGAGTGAGAGACAGAAAATATGCAGACCTTTCATTTACTTTAGTGTTAAGCCGTTGTTCCTCCTTTGGACAATCTGACTTTTTTTTTTTGCTGTCCTTGGACTCATAAGCCACAGACACGTTTTCCCCTTAAAGGCAGGGTTGGTAATATTTGAAAAGTAGCATACCCTCAGTGCTCCGTCTGCACCCACCCCTTCTGATTTAGCAGTAATGACACACATGTATTGCTCTCCTCTTTTTGAGTCATTGTCGTTCTCTTTATTTCTAATCCTCTCCATTGCTCTCTATAACACTGCCTTCCTGTGTCTCTCTTCAGATGACCATTCAAGGGTTATTCTTCAGCCCATAGAAGATGACCCCTCCTCCGACTACATCAACGCCAACTACATCGATGTAAGTGGAAACGCATCGAATGCTACTATTGGCTCCCAACGAAACCAACGAAACCACACTCCCTCGCTCGTATGTCAGGCCTCTATACCTTTATGCGTCTACTAGTCATCCATCGTGCCATTTTTTACGCATCCAGCCACCCCCCAAAAAACCACATCATGCATACATCAAGTGTCTTTATCATGTGTCACCTCTGCTGTCTTCTTTCTGTCTCTATCCATGTTTTCATTTATCCATTCTGAATTTATCATAATGACTTTTTAAAGCCATTTCCAAAGGCAGTCTGTTAGAGTAATATGATATACAACAGGAGACTTTCAGAGTTAATCCCTATTTAGTAGAACTCGGTTTCACAAAAGATGCAACAGACAACAAGCAACAACAAGAGCTACACAATGAGAGACGATGTTTATGTAATATTTAAAGCTTGCTTGCTTTCATTTTGCATTTTAGTGAGAGGATCGATGTCGTCCTTATGGTTATGAGAATGCAGCTATAGTTTGTCAGAGGAGATAGCAAGATAGCTTAGCTTAACATAAAAATAAGCAGGGGAAATATATACAGTATACAGCTAGCCTGGCAGTGTACAGCACAACAAAATCTGATTACTTGCAACTCTGAAGCTCAGTGATAGGCACGTCACATCGCGTAAATTTGATGTCTTAGATTATTTACTTAGTTACTTCTTAACTATTAAACCTTTATAACTTTAATATTGGTACATCATGTTATTATTAGGTGATGTTAGATATTGAAAGAGCTATCTTATCTAAGCTTGCTCCTGCTGTTTAAAGTCTTAATGCTAGGCTAAGCTAATCCGCTAGCCAGCTTCATGATTATTCTAAACACGAGAGAAGAGTTGATATTCTCATCTAACACAAAAGTGTAGGATTATTTATTTTAGTCCCTTCAATTAGCATTCACTCAATTTATAATACCTGCTAGGATGTTTAAATAGTGTGTTCACTTTATTCCCTTTTTCACCCTGTCTCTTGTTGTATCTATAATTTCTCTGAACATTCACCAGTGACTCGATTACTCCATTTAAATTCGCATCCATTCATTCACATTTTCCCATCTCTGCTTTTGCATTTACAACAATCATCTGCATGAGGGTTCTCTCACATTGTGCTTATTTAAATGCTAACATGCTGGTAGCATTATCTTCTTTGTTACATGACATGCATGTCACCACTCACATTACTAGAACTAGAATGAGTGGATTGGACACTACCTGGTTTGTATAGCTTATCCCTGTTGGTACAGCTTTAGTAAGATGGTATTCAACATACTTTGGATTGTACTAAAAAATAAACTTAAAAGTCCGCCATGAACACCGTAAGCTTGAGCGTTAACAAAGCTGTAACTGTTTTGTTAAATGAAATTATAAACAATCTGCCTTCTAAGGCTTTTTTAAAATGTAAGTACATCAGGAAGTGTCCTTTTTATTCAGTCTTAATCATGTTTCTTTCTGCATGTCCTTTTCAAACTCCCATTATGTCAATGCAACTTTTCTTTTCCTGATTGACACTCACTGACATTGTTGTGCTTTTTCTTTCTTTCTTTCTTTCTTTCTTTCTTTCTTCCACTCGTTCTTTCTGCCTGTGGCTTGGGCTATAGATTTGGCTGTACAGGGATGTAAGTATCACTGTGGATTCTTTCATCACGCCCCTCAACCTTTTACACTTATTCACCTCTACATCCATACTTACACACCGGTCAGAACATGCATCGCGTCACGTTGTTCGTATGTTTTAAGTTGCTGGGGCCTCGGCTGCATGACTTCATATCGCCCTGCTGTCAGGCTTCCTTACATCCCACCGTGTGATGTCCCTTTTTATCAGTAGAACATGTTTTTCGTGTGATTTCTATCTTTCAGTTGTTGATGTTTTGTGGATTTTGGTACCCTAAAAACATAGTTTTGCAGCTTTGTTCTGATACTTCTGACATATTAGATACAAATATTAAGAGCAAGAGTTCTCCCAGGTTCCAGCGTCTAGTTTAGATGTTCCTCTTTTCTAAATAAACATGTAATAGGCAGTTCAACTCAACATGTAGCCCTGAAATGACAATAATATCTGATATAACTTTACTGGATTGTGTTTACTGTGTCCACTGGTAGATAATGTTTGAAAGCTTTACTTTGGGCTCTTCTAGCTGTGAGAAAGTGATGTTTTAACAAAGGGACATTTGTACTGAGCTGTTCTGTTGTGCTGCTGTGATTTCAGGGCTACCAGAGACCGAGCCACTACATTGCTACTCAGGGTAAGCAACTGCAACTCCATAAAACAAATTATTCATTACCGCTGTTTAAAAAAAAAACAAAAGACAATTCTACTCACGCAAAGGGATGATTCGGAGTACTGAAGATGTGTCTGCGTGTTTGTGTGTAGGCCCTGTTCATGAGACGGTGTATGACTTCTGGCGGATGGTGTGGCAGGAACAGTCGGCCTGCATTGTCATGGTTACCAATCTGGTGGAGGTTGGAAGGGTAAGATGGTCATTTCATCTCTTATGTACTCTTTTGTGGCGTTTTTTTTTTTTTTTTTACCTGTGTGGGGCTTTTTCAGAGCATTAGTTAACTGGATAGCCAGATTTTTTTTTAAATGCGATGATTTCAAATCCAAATCATGTTTGAAAAAACCGTAAGCACGTATGCAAGTGACTTTTTCTTCTAGTATTTTATTCTATTTTAAAGCTGATGTCATTAGAATTTTGTGCAAATGGAAACCGTGTATTTTCAGCATGATTGAGACCCATTAACATGATTTATCCTATATTAGAGCAAATCCTAACCTCGCATTTTATTTTGAACAGGTTAAATGCTATAAGTATTGGCCTGATGATGCAGAGGTGTACGGCGACTTCAAGGTGACCTTTGTGGAGGTTGAACCTCTTGCTGAATACGTGGTTCGCACGTTTACCCTGGAGAGGGTGAGTCATATCTTACAGTTTGCATTAAGTCTCTGTGTTGTTTGCATGTATTAATGTTTAGCATTATTTACAGTGTTGTAAAAAAACCTATCATGTATAGTTCTTGTCTCTGGTGGAAGTAATGAAAACAAAGCGAGCTTGACCCGTCCAGGATGTGATTTAAAAAAAAACAAATTAACTTATCACTTAGTTTAAATTAGTTTTGTAATAAATGTTTAACTAAAGGTGTTTTTTTTTTTTTTTCGTTACATAGCGTGGTTTCAACGAGGTGCGTGAGGTCAAGCAGTTCCACTTCACAGGCTGGCCGGATCACGGCGTTCCATATCACGCCACGGGACTACTTTCTTTCATCCGCAGAGTTAAAATCTCCAATCCACCCTCTGCTGGGCCAATAGTGGTTCACTGCAGGTATGAAAACATGCACACAGTTACATCTTTTATATAATGTACGGCATATGTTTATTTTTGTACTCTTACATGTGAACCATACTGACATACCGATAGTCAAACAGCTCTATTCTTTCTTTTTAACTTAAAGACAAAGACTCATTTGTCCATGTTTGTTTCCCTCTGCAGTGCTGGAGCGGGGCGTACGGGCTGTTTCATCGTCATCGACATCATGTTGGACATGGCAGAGAGAGAAGGAGTAGTGGACATCTACAACTGTGTGAAGGCACTTCGCTCCAGGAGGATCAACATGGTACAGACTGAGGTGACTGCATTACCCATCCTCCATCTGCATCCACATCTTAGAGTCAACTTAATGAACCCTCACTGTAAGACTCGGCCATGGACATGGAGCAGGCTGAGGAGACTACATGGATTCATCTATCTGATAAGCATTCATAAAAAATTTCATGTCACTGCATAAACACAAGGGGAAACATCAACCGCTCAAAAATAACGACAGAGAAATGGCCTGGACACGGAAAAATATGAAAATGTAGCTTTTTAGATACAAACACTCTCCCACACAAAAAGGGGTACAAAAAGAAAACCCTACTCGTTCATGAAGGATTTTAAGCTCGCGGTGGCACCATCTAGTGGTAGTTTTAGGAATTACACTATGGCTAACACTAATGCATTCAGCACTAAATAAACACTTCTATCTAGAATCAAGAAAAGTCCTAATGCATGGATGCAAATAAATTCATGATTTTACTCAGCTGTTGCAAAGTCTGTTAAGTATGAATATATGGTTAGTTTAAAGTTAAATACTTTGCAGAATTCAAAATCCAATGTGTAAAATTAAGAAGCAGACAATAAGACACATTGTGGTGATTTTAAATAACAAAATAAGAACTTTGTCAATATCTTAATCTATCTGATGCATCTCTTTTTAGCAACATTGATTTGCTTTTTATTACTTGGAGGTAAATAACTCCATAGATTCTTGCATGGACACTTTTTGTCCATGTTGTAATTGTTTTACATACTGTCGTATCTTTACACCATCACAGAAAATCCTTAAACTTGTGAAATATTAGTCCGAAGAAGAATAACAACCTACAGCTTCATCCATCAGATGACAAAGCACATTCCCCTTTCATTCACAAAAGCATCCTTCAGTTCACTCCCTGTTCTGTGTTTGTTCAAGTGAAGCTGTATTCATTTACTTAAACGTTTTTAAAAAAGTTCAATTTTCATTTTGGACTGACTCAGAGGTGAGATTAACACTCAACATCTCATTCACAACTCCATCTCCATCCGTCATCACTCACACTGTCAGCGTGCTCACGTTCAGCTGTTGTCCACGTGTTGAGTGTGTGTTTTCTTTAATATCTAATTATGTTGTTTTTTTTCTAGTGTGAATGAAAGATGCGTATGATCGTCATAATATGCATGTGTTGAATTCAATGTCTACAGGAGCAGTATATATTCATCCACGATGCCATACTGGAGGCTTGTCTATGCGGAGAAACAGCCATACCAGTCTGTGAGTTCAAAGCTGCTTTTTACGAGCTGATCCGCATCGACTCGCAGACCAACTCGTCTCATCTGAAGGACGAGTTCCAGGTAAACCTCACTGTAGACCTTACCTCGCTTTTCTCAACATCCTTTTCCAGCAAGAAGAACAGAGGCTGTGGTCACCTTTTATTCATTTCAGTTAAAAGCCACTGAGAAGCTGAAAACAAACGTCAACATGTCTCAGCCACTCCTGCATCATAATCCTCCTCTGCCATGTTTATTCATAGGTTCCATATTTTGCAAACAAAAATAGCAAACTTTCTGGGCTTCTGAATGAATATGTAAACCACATTTTGGTGAAATGTTTTGTGAAATTACTTTTTTATCCACTCCATGCCTCTCTCAAAGTTTAAATTAATCTTTATTGTTCGGCTTCAACCCAGAGACAACAGCCAGAAATAATTCAGAACTATTTTAACATCATTTGTGTCATTTAATAATAACAGTAGAGCCCAACATATTCAGCTGAACTCAAAGGTGTCCTGTGGTGTTTTATTGTAAAAAGAAGTTTCTGTTTAGATTCAGTGATACTCACCAAAAGGTCATTTGTGTAACAATCATACAGAGCAAATGTTTTTAAATCCAGTGCTAGGAAAAAACTTGTTGTTAAAGTGTAACTAACTCGGTAAGGTCGAGCATTTTATGCACCAAAATAACTTCTATATCTCTCCATGCGTCTAGACGTTAAACTCGGTGACTCCTCAGCCTCAGCCTGAAGACTGCAGCATTGCATTGTTGCCTAGAAACCAAGATAAGAATCGCTTTGTGGACGGCCTTCCTCCTGATAGGTGCCTACCCTTCCTCATCACAATAGACGGAGAGAGCAGCAACTACATCAACGCTGCTCTGATGGATGTAAGTACACAACACACTCAGTCCAGTGACGACGTGTTATTTTCAACACATCCAATAAGAGTAGTTTGGGACATTTTTAGACTGTGTGTGTGGATTCTTTTGCTTTATGGCATGTTGATATACCCTTTTAGACTTGCAGATGTGTTGCTTTGAACACAAATGAACATATTCACACAGCAGCCTTCCACTTTGGTTCTGTTGAGGGTGGAAAGTTTGAATTTTGTGTTAAAGTCACTCTGCTTTGTTCCAGTATGTAAGTTATATACATGTAGAAAATCTGTCAATGTAATTCCACTGTGATCTGATTGGTCAACAACTACAAAGGAAACAGACAGGTCACATCAGGTCACTATTTAGTGACATTTTTACCGGCTACTTGCAGTGATGTCAGAACAGCTAGCATGAGCTCCCAACTCCTGGTTGGCATTATTGCCAACTAGCTTACATTCTTCGCAGTAAGGAATTTGAATAAAAGACCTCTTGACAACATCAAGGAACATCCTATCTAATATAACTGTTAGCTAGGAAGTAGTTTAGTATAAGCATTATCATTTGATTGTTTTCAATATGAAAATGATAAAGCTGTCAAACAGAAGAAAATGGCCGCTGTGTGAATATGATGAATTTGGACTTCTGATATGTGAAAACTAAATTAAAGGTATTTCATGTTTTTTTGTCCCAAACTGCAATCACATAACTGTTGAAGTTTTTACACACTTTTTAGAGGTTGTACACAAATGATGATCAGGAGGAACACATTTACATTTAAGAAATGATGCAGACACACACACACACACACACACACACATGCACGCACACAGACTCCCCTCCCTGTTTGTGTGATGCTGTGTTTGTGGTTTTAGCAGCAGAAGGCTAGAGACAAATCCAGGTTCTGAGAAGACCACTAGCTTCTCTGGCCACCAACAGATCTTTAAAAGCCTCGTTGTTGCAGGACTTTGTTTACATCGGCAGCATTGTTCAACATGTTGCCCGTGTACAGGGACTTCTAAACAGAGTCTGACTTAGGGGGGGATGTAAGGTAAGATAAGATTAATGTGGGGTTATGACCATGTAATGCTAATGAGCAGGTTTGTCATCAGAGAAGTTTTACATGAGAAAGAGGGGACAGACGAAAAAGGGACGGGAGGTGAGAAAGAAGTATTTGGGTTTATACGTGCATGGTGTGGAGAAAACCTGGCTTCTGTCCAACAAAGCTGTTGGAAGACAAAAAAAAAAAAAAGCTGCATCAGTCCAATTTTCTAAGTTTCCATTCAAAGTTTAGTTACTTACCTTTGGCCTCTCTTTAATCAAGCTGTCAGAAGAGTTCCAGGTAATGGGATTTCACTTCAAATCTACAATACTGGATTTGTTTCATGGCTTCAGTGTCGTTCTGCCACCAGGTTCATGTTTAGAAAAGTCATTTATATCCCCAAACTTCAAACCCGACCTTAACCCACCTTCACATTAGATTCAGCTCATGAGTACAAGTCACCAAAGTCATTCACGACCATGTCGCCCATATTCAGAACAGGCTCAGTTCACTTTCAGTCACTTTATCGTGCCAATGGTCTGTTTTTCTTCTGTAACTTTAATATGAACCTAAGCTGAAGTTAACTGAGCCTTCTGGATAATGATGTAAGCTGTTTGTGTTTGTGCATGCATGCTCCTCATCCACACATCTGATAGGCTCACTGCATGATCATGTGACCAAACATCACCTGTGCTGCTTGCTGTCCCGCATATTGTCCCACTCTGCTCCGCTGTTTTGTTGTGATGTGGGAGTATGTGTGAGAGAAATGTTCAGGATCAGTATGAAAGTAAAACTTGCTGCTTCAAACTCCTGGATTTAAAAAAAAAAAAAAAACGTGTGAATGAAATGACCGTCTGAGTGAATAAAAAGAGCTGACATATTTCCTGTTATCTCTTTGCAGAGCTACAGACAGCCTGCTGCGTTCATCGTTACCCAGCATCCTTTGCCTAACACGGTCAAAGACTTCTGGCGTCTGGTTTACGACTATGGATGTACCAGTCTAGTGATGCTCAATGAAATTGACCTGGCTCAGGTAAATCTCTGCTCTGCTCTTCTCTATTTAGTTTGTTCAAAGATCTGTGATTTTCTACATTTCTGAGAGGATAATATTTCAAACATGCAAGGCTTTAAACTACACACACATCCATTGCAATTTCTTTAGCTGATTCCTTTTCAGATTTTTTCAAGGTCTGACCTGTTGATAGCGATTTTATCCGATTCTGATTTCCTTCTTAAATAACTATAATTGACATCAAAGAACAAACATTATCTGTAATTTCTGTAATTACATTTTAAACAGATGCTTCTGCAGGTTTTCTTTGAAAACGTGAACATGTGATTCTTTCTATATTTTAATGTTTAGAACCCGTCCATTCCTTAATCACAAAGTTTATCAACATGGAATTGTGTCACTCCCACAAATGTTCCAAACCATAAAGTCAAAGGAAATCATGTAAATGTTTGCTGTCTGTTTCTGTTTAAATTATAGCTACAATTGCTTTAGTTGACTTTCACTGTGTCTGAATAGTGTAACTGTTTGTGTTCAGGGTTGTCCTCAGTACTGGCCAGAAGAAGGGATGCTGCGTTACGGTCCGGTCCAGGTGGAATGTATGTCCTGCTCCATGGACTGTGATGTGATCAGTCGACTCTTCAGAGTCTGCAACCTCACCAGGGTCAGAACATTTATACTGTGCTGTCATGTTTCTGGTTCAGAGCTTTTTCCTTGAAGAAAGTTAAAATGAAAAACAGAGTTAACTTTTTGTTTTATGTAGGTTTAGATAAGTCTTCTGTTTGTCTGACTCCTCCCCCTTAATGTGTGTGTGTGTGCTTTTTCTTTTTAGCCTCAGGAAGGCTACCTGATGGTTCGTCAGTTCCAGTACCTTGGGTGGGCGGGACACAGAGAAGTCCCCGCCTCCAAACGCTCCTTCCTCAAACTGATCCTGCAGGTGGATCAGTGGCAGCGTGAGGGAGAGGAGGGCGAGGGGAGAACCATCGTTCACTGCCTGTGAGTAAATACAAGCGTATCCACTTTTTTCATTATAAAAACGACAATGTGCGGCTAGGTTTAAAAACAAGAGCACTCTGTTTACCCGGTGAAAACGATGAGCTCATTTGTTGAAGTGAAAAAGAATCGGAGGAGTGTTAAAGACTCACTCAGAGTGACACGTCTCTTTTTTGTCTCAGTCTCCTAAAAAGCGGGAGGATTTGTGTCATCTGCGCTGTGAGATGTGTCAAAAACTACAATGGACATAGTAACTTGTGCTTTTCTGTGCTCATAAATATGTATATTCATCTTTGTGTTTGTCAGAAACGGAGGTGGGCGTAGTGGAGTTTTCTGTGCCAGCAGCATTGTGTGCGAGATGGCAAAGAGACAGAGTGTGGTTGACGTCTTCCACGCTGTGAAGACATTGAGGAACAGCAAGCCCAACATGGTGGACACTCCGGTGAGTCAGAGATAACAAACTGTTAGATTATAACCTCCACACAATACTTACAGTTCCAGAGTATTAAGAAGACGTGCCCAGCTTTTCTAGAGCGATTAGCTGAAAGATATGTGTAAGAAGATGTCATAACAGGAGAGGGAATCATGGACTTGCTTTGATTTCCAGAACCAGCAGATACTGATTAAATATTTGGGTCTGTATTTGTCTACAGGAGCAGTATCGGTTCTGCTACGATCTGTCACTGGAGTTCATCGAGTCCTCCTAAACAAAGGAGCGAAGAGGAGGTGAAGAGGAGGGAGAACATCTTTTCACTCTCCGTTTGTTTGATCCTTGGCTTTGCTTGGTCCCGACTCCCCTCTGTGGTGGCCGTTCTGTGGCCCCCATGTTGCGTCCCTACGAATGGCCCGAGCGGCTCCTTGTACAGCGCTGTTTAATATCCAAACAAAGGGAAACGTTCAGACTTCTAGCAGAGGGAGCTGCTGGAAGAACACCAGAGGGGAGGTGGTGTTACTCCTTTTACTCCTTAACGCTTCTTGTACAGCTTTTTGAGTGCCAGCGGGGCCCTCTGTATGTTTCAGGCCCCCCCCCCATTTAAATGTTAAGCCCCCCTTCCACGGACTCGATGCCTCATGCTGCAGTACTCTATGTGCCCTGTAGATGTCTCCCTCCCCCAGTGCAAGCTGCAAACACAGCTGAAAGCTTTGAGTGGCCACACATTCCTGCTCACATGCTAATTTATCATCATGCTAATGTTACAAAATCTGATTATCAGTCTGTACTCGTGTCTGAGAAAGTTAAAGGTACAGCCTGTCAGACTCTGTCCATTCTGTTTTCCTCTTGTTACACCAGCCGCTTCTCTATGTTACTTTTCAGCTCATTTCAGTCAGAACAAAATCATGTATTTCAGTAATTATTAACACCAACTTTGAACCAATGGAATTACGTTCAGAAAAATGTCAGTTAAAAGAATCAAAAGAGAGAAAATCAACTCAAAGTAGTGTTAAAGCATCAAGGCTGCCAATGAAACAACAACAGAACGTTTACACAGCGAGTATTAGTCTTTTTTTTAATCCTATCATGAAGTGGTGAAAAAAAAAAGTGTAGGATTTTCACCTAAATGTATAAAAAGTGTGATATGTATCATTGTTTCATGTTTTCTGCACTCAAAGTGAGCTGCAATGTTTCTTTTTTTTTCTGATTGTTTTTTTGTGTTGCTTCAGTTTTTGATCTACTGGATAGAAGTTTTGAAGTCTTCTTTGTAGCTCAAACGTGAACTCTAATGTTCAGCCATGTGAAATGTAGTGTAATCATGTTTGTGTTCAGGGCTGGGCCCAATGCACTTTCAGTTCAGCCAATTCACGAATGGGGAGATTTCAGTTCAAAACTCAAATATGAACAGATGTCTGGGGGGGGTTGGAGGGGAATTGATGCCTTTAAGAAAAGACTGAGAATTAAAAAATGCTCTTTGAATTACAGTTTTCATTTCTGCTTTGAATAGAGTTGGAAGTGAACTGACCCCAGGCCTCATTGTTTTTGTGCACTCGTGGCCAACACTTTCCCCTTTGTTTTCTTCTCTTTCTATTATTTCGTAGCCGATGTTTATTCATAAGCCAAAGACTTTGTGTAAATATGTCTATACGGATAAAGCACATTGTTTGTATTTATTGTTTGTTTACTTGCATTGCTTGTAAGAACAATCATTCTTCACTCTATGTTTACTCTACCACCAGCGTTTCTTAAACTGCGGGTCAGGGATGCAAAATGGGCCGCAGTACTGTTTCCTCTGAGGAGTATTGGAATGAGCCCATAATGGGTCCTGAGGTCAGAGGCTGCATCTGCTCTTTTTGTGTCCATGAAGAAGAGTTTAAGAAGCCCTGATAGAAGCTGTATATTGAAGCGTAAGAAGTAGATTTTTCAGTATTTAGGTGCAGTAGTGTTGTCTTGTTTTCACTTAATGAAGCTCTCTGTGATGTTGCCGTGGTTTCTTTGTGTAACAGCCCCATCGCTCTGTTTGTGGTCAGTTGAACATCGGTGCGTTTACATCCACAGAGTATTTTGGATAATGGCTCCTATCCCTTTTAAAGTCTTAGTCTGGGGATAAGCTTATTATCTTCGTCCTCATATCCTGCTCACCATTATCCCTGAACACACACATGGACTCAGTGATGCAAACAGGCTTAGTGAGTGACATGCAGGACTGTGAGACAAAAAAAAAAAAAAGAGAACATTTTTGTGCCTAATCATTTGAATATCCTCATCCTCAAGCATTTTAACAGCATTTTGAGATTGCAAACCAGGGCTTTGTTGAACGCGTTCTCATGGACGATCAATGTTTTTAAAACCATGACTCAGTGTGTTTTATTCAAGCGAGCGCTTCATGAAAATTCTTTGTGAGGCATCACCGGATACCAGATGTGTTTCTGTTGTGAACAAACTGATTCAGATAAAAAAAAAAATAATAATATTGTAAATAAAATGTCAGAGGTTTCACACTGTTGGAACAAGAGTAGCGCAGGTCCACTGTTACGGATGTTATTGTAAATAGACTATCAGGAGTGCTCTATAAGGCTCTATTGTTGGATGAACAGTAGACGTGTAGATGATGGATGCGATGTCAGAACATTAGTTCTGTTGTAGATACAAAAATAAAAGTCAGAGATTGTACTACAGGAGGATTCAACTTCACATTTTGACAGATATTGTTTAAAAAGTTTATTCTGTTGGTGGATAAGCAGTTTTCAGTTTTTCCTTCAGATTTTTCGTCTGATGCAAAGAAGGGAGGAAAAAATTCAGATATGATAAAATGATTACGGCCTTCTCTGAAGCATGCACAGAGAGTAGAGCAATGATAGAAATTCAAATTAAAAAAATCTCAGCCCTCTTAACTACACGCTTAGGAGGAACGTAAGGAGTGAATCCTGTCAAGATGCCCATTATTCCTCCTTAATAAATCTGAATTCATGTCCCTGAGGAGAAGTGAATGAAGCAAGTGTCCTGATGAGAGGCCGGTTTGAGTATAGAATTGATATTCATGGTTCATAATTATTCTTGTCTGTAATGTTTGGCTTCTTTGCTGTAATAAAGACCACTTCTTTGATTAAAGCCTTTTGTCTGTCTTCTGTTGTAAGCTCCATGTTTTTAGGATTTTGAATGGGAAAAAAAAAAAATGCTGGGATGGGAAAGGAAGAGTTAAGTTTCTTATCACTTCAGAAACCAGTGATATTCACTGTATCCTACCTTTAAAGCTCCTTCACATTGGGGGCGCAAGTGGTCTTGTGGTTTCGCTCCATGTGCAGAGGCTTTAGTCCAAGTCCATCCTGTGGATCCTTTCCCACATAATCCCCCACCCTCTCTCGATTTCCGACTCTATCCATTGTCTTGTCAAAATAAATGCAAAAGGCCCCCCAGAAAGACGTCACTAAAGCTCTTTCACATCGACTGCTCCTTCACTCTTTTGTACCATTTTTGCACCTTTAAGTCCAGGACAATTCACACTTAAAGACTCATGCAGGCTGATGACATCCAATCATTTCCTGCACTACATGATTTGAGACTTACTAACCATGTGTGAGTGGGCCAGACTGCTTTCCTTTGATAGCATTTTTTTGTTGAATCACGATACTTTTAAAAAATTTTTCCTCTTTAGAAACTTCACAAAAGAAAAGATGAAGTCATCAGTTGACAGAAATATAGGAATTTGATCGATCAGTAACTTTGGCAGTTTTCTCTGCTCACTTGATCAAATAAAAAAATAAAGCAGACATCTTGTGCTTGAAAAAAAAATAAAAAATGGGGCACTGGTTTCACTCTGTCAGTAGATTCGCCCCAGTCCTCGACTGGTTTGACTTCCTGCCTCAGCCCTTTGGCGCACATCTGCCCCACTCTCTCCTCCTCACATTTCCTGTCTCTCTTCAGCTGTCCTATCTGATGAAAGCAAAATGAAAAGTGTTGGTTCTATTTAGCATGAGAAAGACTCAAAGGCACACCATAATAAAGGCTTTTTAATGTTTGCAACAGAGATGTTTTGTGCTGTCATTGCAGGAAAAACACAGGCTTACTTTTTAACTCACGTTATTAATCACTTGTGCTCGATCTGCTCTAATCCTTAACATGTGTCGTAATAGATAAATGCTGAGCATAGCAGAGCAAAACTAGTCTCACCTATCAGACTCTTCTTGTGTTTTATTTTTAGGTGCTAGGAAGGTCAGCTGCTGGTCCCTAATGTTGTGTTTTTATTTCTGTCATGTTTGACTTCATCATTAACTTTTGCCTCCTACCAGGAAATCTGTCTTTCCTTGTTTCCATGCATGAAAATAAACCAAACTTTGTCACAAAGGTCTGGTCTTATGCCAAAACTCCTAAACTGGCTTTGGTGCTAATAGTCCTTATGTTGGTGCTGTAGTAACCATTCAAAGTTTTTAAACATTTCAGATTCATGAGAAAATCCAACTTTACAAATTAGTGTGACATCACCACTAACTGACCCGATGCCCTGAGTGCTCAATAGACTTTCAATGTTATTAGTGTGACAGGTTTTATGCCAAAAACTTTTAATGCTAAGACTAGGTTGATGCAAAAGGATCTTCTCAGTGGACATTTAAAAGATTAGATGTGAAAGAACTTCACTCATCTTGACAGAAATTCTAGTGCCAGATTGCTCTACAACTACAGTTTAGTCAAATGAAAGTTACACAACAGACCATCAAATATACGAGGCCAATCGTCAACATGAAAAAGTCAAATCAATCTATGCAAGTTTGACGTTAAGCCATTATGAGCCAACCTGTGTAAAGAAGTTAGAGATTCTAAAATACTTTCAAATAAGACGGCCAAAGTCATTGAATAATCATAGCTGTAGTTTTAGAGCCAGTATACGACTTTACATGGATTGCCCTTTGGCAAAAATATTGTCTTTTATTTTCATATTGTAAAGGCTCCTTCTGGGGGGATAAAAAGTTCTACTTAGGTTTTAGTAAATCTCTATAATCTTGAATTCCTCCTGACATGTTGACTTGTCTTCGTTGTGGTGAAGCTGCGTCACTGAACTGTCCCCAAACTCTCAGTGCTTATAGAGAAAAATAAATTAAATAAAGAGCTCTTCTCCACAATCACGCCATTTTCTTCAAAAAGTTTAATTTGCATAATTATTTACAACAGATTTTTGATAGCAGTACTTAGAAGGGGGGGGGGGGCAAAATATACTGAACCACATTGATAAAGCAGGAAAATAATAAAATGATATAAAGTATTTCAAACCATTTCAAACCCTTGCATTAAAAAAAAGAAAGTTTACAATTCATTTATAGATAAACAAACCTGTAAATGAAATATTCAGCTTAAATTAATTGTACAAACACAAACTGATCTGTAGAATGCTGTCAGTCTGAACAGCAATGAAACACTAAATAATACATTCATTTTCACTATCCTGCATGCTATCTGAAGATCTTATAAAATAATGTTGACAAAGGAACATTAAACAACAAAAACATGGTCAAGAGCGGAAAATAGTTCCATTTAAATTAGGCATATATTATATATTTATATATGTATATTTTTGTACAAATACTGAATATTTGGCATTATATTTATCCTCATTATTGATAATATCTAACATTTCAAAATAGTTTTAAGCTAACCACAAACCTTTTTTGCTATTACATTTTTCTCATGTCACATTCAAGAACCCATAAGAGGCCTTCTGTTATTTCTAACCACAGCCACAACACAAGACATTTCTCCACCAAAGCCAAAGTTGTGACTGCTCTCTCTCCTCATAAAACATTCAAACATTCAGAAATCAATAAAACACACACATATAGCAACATTTGTCCCTCCCAGTTACACACAAAAAAATACAAAAATGTGGACAATATATGTCTTTAAAAACTCTGGTTGAAGTGTGACTGTAAGTCCTTCAATTGTTGCAAAGATAAGCAGAAGTATAAACTATCAGTCATAGTTAATGTAGACAGGTTAACATGTGCTGTAGGTGGATACAGAGATCACAACTACAAAAAAACAAAAACACACTCATTCTTAACAAACCAGTTGCATTTTCATAACTCAAAAAGTTGAACCTAAAGAAATTGTTTGCCGGTGTTCTGTCGAGACGTGCTGCCTTGTCAAAAATTGCAATGACAGTGAGAACTTATAGACGAGGCGATCCGTTTGCCCCATCATATAAGGCTACTAGAACAAAATAGCTTCATATTAATCCACACATTCAGAGTGTGGGGAGCAAGTTTGATACTCTATTATTTAATTTTATTTAAGGATCCCCTAACAAATAGCGCTTCCAGTACAGAGTCACTTTAAAACTCCAATATTTGCTCTATTTGCACTGTAACAAAACAGGAAGCATGTTTTGATACTCTTTCATAAAATCTTTATTTGAGATTTAAGAGGAAGCAGATCTTAATAGAAAAAAAAATAACCCTATGAGGTTATGCTTCCTGCACTGCACAGAAACACATGGTGGCACATCTCGATCGGTAGCACCATTTGATAGAACACCGGTCAAAAGATAATAGTTTGAAATTGTATGAAATCTCACGTCATATGAAGCTACAGTCAGGTTTAAGTTAGCTTGGCAATAGGAAACAGCTAGCGTGGTTAAAAATTAGCTTCCCAGATTTTCTCAATCTTCCTAATCATCAAGTTGTATTTCTTTTCTTGGGCGACTACTTGTGTCCTGTTTTCAGTCTTTATTGCTGTATTAGGCTAACCTCTTTGCTTTAACTCCATCTTTAATAAATGGGTGGAAGCAGCTAGCTGGAGGCTAAAAATGTAGCCTGTGTATTCGTCAGACAAAAGCTAAAGCCAGGAAATGTAGCCTAAGCTTAGTCAAAAAGACTAAACGGGACAGGTGGTTTGTTTGTTAGCCAGATGTCCTAGCTATAAACAGTGGGTGGATTTTGTTAACCTACATTTGGAAACACAAAATCCACCAATGATTAGCCTCTTCATGGCTCTTTTAGCTCTTGCTTTAGAGAAATGGAAAAAGCTAGCTTTAATGACTGTGCTTGGGCAGAAACATAACTAGAATTTAACCCGTGTGAAACCACAAGTTATGTTTTAAGACTACTTGTGTTTTTAACTTTAGTTTTTATATTGATAAACAAACATACTTTCATTATTCATTTTGAGCTCTACAGGTAATTTTAGGTGTTTAGTTATATTTGGAGGGAGCCGGCTAGCTGTTTCCTGGTCAGTTTAATGCTAAAGCATACAAACGTATTAACTTAGCCATAAAGACTGTTAACATGTTGGTAGTTCCTGAAAACTATAGAAATAAATCGAGGCTAAAATCCACTTTTAGCCATACGAATTAAACAAAGGAGAGGAGAGAATGTGGAGTTGCTATTTTCAGTCTTTATGCTAAGCTAAGCTTATCAACTGCTGTCTGTAGCTTCACAATTAACAACATTATAATAAAATTAAAGTCATTGACACTACTTTGGGAGTTGTATCCATGGACTTTCCTAACGCAAAAAGAAAACGATTGCAATAACTATAATGTCAAAATGACTTAAAACAGTTTAGCTAACGGCTAAACAAAGTATAAAATTCCAAACATTTGGGTTTGATTGAAGTCTTGATGATCACAATGAAAAGTCAGACTAAATATCTAAATTAGGGTTATTGCTTGAAGAGCAGATACACTCTCATACAGCCCAGTAGAAATGAAAACATGACATAAAATATGATCCATAAATACTTGAATACTCTTTGTCTTATGAGAAATGAAACACTGATCCACGTCAACAAAAGTCACATTATTTATGAGAAGAGAGAGCAAGCAATAGAAAGACATCTTTGCAGTGCAACCATATCAGAAACAAGGAGAAAAGCTTTAAATGAAAATTTGATAGAGTGTCACTTCAATAGATTGTAAAGAAATCCTCAACATCTGCACAAGGGCAACTCAAGGGCTCTATATTGAGGATAAAATACAACACTGCTGTTGTGGTGTGTATGTGTGTGCGTTTGATGCTTTTGGTATGTGCTGATTGTCAGAATGAATCTTTAAAAAAAGTAGATTTTTGGAAAAAGTAAGAGAAGAGAATCTGGTTGATTCAGCACCTATACAGACTTCTCTG